CTTCATCAATATTGGCTATATTTATTATACTCCAATAATAATGAAGTGCCTGGTAAAAAAAAAAAAAATTTTAAAAACAATTTTTATAAAACTATATATTTAACTTTATCTATAATGAATTCCTTCAAAATTCAAAATTCAAAATTCAAAAAAAAATTAAGTTTTTTAAAAAAAAAATATATAAAAATTTTATTTAGTTAGCATTAGTTTTTAATTATTTTAAAGATTCATTTCCATTTTTTTTACGGTAAAAATATTTCCATCGGTTATAAAAACCAACCCGCTATTTTCAAAAGAAAATATGTTATCTTGATCTTTGATAATACTGGAAAAAGCGTTTATGATTAATTTTAATTCGACTATTGAAAGACTTGTTCCTGTCATGAAAGTCGATGTTACAAATGGTAATGGGTCTATATACACGAGGTATCTAATATCACCCTTGTAAACATTGAAAATATCTTTCAGAATTTCATACTGTTGCCCGCAAGGATTACCTAAAAAACATTCGCTAAATTAGAAAAAAAAAAAAATATTAATATTTTTGTAAACAATAAATAAATGATGTTAAACTTACTCTGGGCCCATTGTCCATACAGTTGAGGTAGCTTTACATCTCTTACTATTAAATTTATTAGATATATTTGAAATTAGTTTTAATAAAAAAAATATTATATAATTAACCATTCGCTAGCCTTTTTACTTGACCCATCTTTAATAGTATCTCTTGAATGTTTGCTATACACTGTGTTGCTATTCATTTTTATACAAAGGCTTATTCATGAGAACACTGTTTTTGCTATTGTTGTAATTGTTATTATATTATTTCAATTAAAATTTCCATATGTTTTCATCTTGAATACCATTTCTAAGATTATGAATAATCAAAAGAATAATAATAATGATTATTATATTTGATTTGATTATTGCCTTATCTTATTGTTTAAACACTACAATCAGCACGATTGAATTATGGCATTCTCTATCTGTATTTGTATATTGTTTAATAGGCTAGAATCTGCTTCTCTTTTTAAAAGAATGTTTAAAGGTAGTCAGCGACACCACACAATGAAGATAGTGAACAGGCGCCATTCTTAATTGCTAACCACGAATTTTTGACTTACCCTTTCAATAATACAAAAATCTGATGTTGGCATTGTGACATTAAATATAGCTTGGAGGTGGAGCTGGTTTAGCTGATGGTTTAACGGTTGCTGGTTTAAATTGTGTAGATGGGGCAGGTGATGATAATTATTATTGGTTTTTTTTCTGTCTCCATCTCTTTAAAGATCCTTTTGTTGTTATCATTTTTGTTTGGCAAAATATCTATTTTAAATGTTTGAATAACCGAGTTTAGGATTGGGGTTTTGAAAGATTTGATTTTCTTTTCTAAAACTTCATCATCAGCTAATAAACCAAGTTTTGTGGCCAATGAACAATATAAACCATAAAGTTTTTTTTTATTTGTTTCCAAACAATTGAAAAGGAATTTTAAAAAATTGTTTGGATCTTTATAATTTTTATGAAAAAAGAATAAAAGAGTTTCAAATAAAAGTAAAACATCACCACTTGAGCTATGACGATTGATACCATCGGTGTTGATTTTAAAAAAAGTTGCTAGATTATCCAACGAATATGATTCCTTTTTTTTATCTGAAACCACTGGTAACACTAATTTAATTGATTTGAAGATGTTAATTGAATCGAAAAATTTAATTCTGCTAATGGTTTTATGGAATGATGATTCTAAAGCTTTAGTTGATTTTGCCAAATGAAAGGCAATTCTACCTCTGTCATACTTTTCATTGTGAGCGATTATATAAATTGGAGCATCATCATCTGACGATTGTTGGACAATAAAATTAAAAATTCCTCTTCAACCTTTTCCCAATATTGGTGACCTGCTGAATCTTTGCTTGTGAGATTGTTGATTTTGGTAGACTCTGGAGTAATGGGGATGGTTGGATTTGATTTACGATAAAATGCTTCCCCATTTAAACAAGCACACGAAAGTTCAATAATTTCTGCATTGGAAGTAAGACCAGTTGTTTCAGAATCTAAAATGAAAATATTGCATTTCGATTGATCAGGTTGTGTTTCAAATTTTCCAAATACATCATTAAATTGTTTTTTGAATTTTTCTTGATCTTCCAAAACTTGTTTATACTTTTGAACATCTTCTTTTGAGAATTCGATGTGGTTGGGTTACGTGAGATTCATAAGATGCGCTGTTTGCAAACATTGCCTGGCAACCATCAAAAATACACACCTGAAGTGCAGCTCTGCCACTGGCTTTGAATCTGGTTTGTTCACCAAAGCATGAAAGCTCTCTAATGGAAAGTATTCTTTTCAAATAAAATGTTAAGGTTATTACTCTTCTTCTTTCATCTGCACTCATTGAATCAGTAAAGGGAAATGATGAATCTTCAGATTCTTCATATTCATCTGGTTCAATGATTTTAATAATTCTTTCGAAAATTCTAACCTCTTCTTCTCTGTATTTGGATACTAATTCAACACTTTCAGGTATTACATTTCCATCAAGCTTTGTTTGAAGACTACCATAACATTTATTTACTTTTTTTATTGAAGCTTCATAACGGTTGTTCTGGACAATCTTTGATTTAATTAACTCTTTGTATGCCGATTATTCATAAATGCAAAATTCATAGTAAGAAGGGTAATGAACTTTGGAACGAACTAAACTAAAAAACAATTCAACTGGATTGGTGCTGAGGTGTGCAATGCTGGTCAATGGGCATCCAATCTCATTGGAGAGGTCGAACAAGTATGTAATGGTTTCTTTGTTGGTTTTGAGATGAAGCTTGGTTGGTTGTGGAATGCTATAAAGATTACAAAAGTATTCAATAGATTTACCAAATTGTTCCAATGATTGCTTCATATCTACCAATACTGATGCAGTTGAAATACGATAAATAATACGTAGATTGATTAAATATGTAATGATGGTCTTTTAAAAAGTCCTCAATGTCCAAATCAATTTGTTTTCTTTTTGACATAATTGAAACGCATCAGAAAGTGCTAGAAATATAATGAATGATGCCGAAAGATCCTTGTCCTAGCTAGTAGGCGAGCCTCCGATCTAGTCAAATGAAAAGGGTACCCACGCGAAGATGGTCTTATCACTTGTTATCAAATGCGGAACAATTATATCTGTAAAAGAAATAAATTATATATAATTTAATTAAATTATTTTTTAATTAAAAAAAAAAAAAAAAAATTTTTGAATTAATTTTTTTTTAAAAAAAAAAAAAAAAAAAAAAAAAAAAATATAGAAAATAAATAAATCTAACTTCAAAAATAAATCAGATTATAAAAAAAATATATAAAATTAAAATATTTGTTTTTACAAAATAATTTTTAAATTAATAAAAAAAATAAAGAGAGAAAATCATTTTGGATTCACACAATCAATATTTCATTTTGTGTTAATTCTCTCTCTTTTTTAAATTTCTTTTTAAAACAAAGTTTTTTTTTATAACAATAAAATCAAAGGTATAATAAATAGAAAAATTTAATTTAGGATGAAAAAAAAATAAAAAATCTTCTTTTATAATTTTAATAAAAAATATCAATAAATAAATTTAAAAAAAAAAATAGAAAAATTATTATTTTTCTTTAAAGTTAATTTATATTTATTTATTGATATTTTTTAATAATATTTATTTATTTTTCAAAATTTCATAACAATACATTGTTGTTGTTGTGTTAATATATTATTAACATCTGTATTTTTGTTATTAATAATGTTTTGATATTATTTCTTTTGCACTTGGTGTTGGTGATTCTATATTACTATACTGGAGCTTTCTTTGGTATTGCTATTGTTATTTATATTACGATTATTACCTTCATTGCCATTATCATTATTGTTTTTATTTTTATTTTTATTTTTATTTTTATTTTTATTATTATTATTATTATTATTATTATTATTATTATTATTATTATTATTATTATTATTATTATTATTACGATTTTGAAAAGATGATGATATATAAAGGTCCAAAATCTCTGGTTGTTTGAGTGATTATTCTTTTTAACGAATCCAATATTTGAATAAGCACATCTCCTAAATTATTAAATCCCAAATAAACTCTATCTTTTTCTTGTTGATTATTTACTGTTTGCCTTATATATAATTCTTTAATTACCGTTGTAAATTGCCATTATTGCAACACCCTCTGATGTGATCGAAATAGCACATGAAAATTTCAAAAGAACCATCACAATGTTGTAATAATAACATTCTCTCTGCATAAAAATTTTTTTTTTTTTATTTTTATTTTTATTTTTTTTAATTTTAAAAAAAATTAATTTTTTTTTTATTTTAAATAATAAAAACAATAAAAAAAAAAATTAGAAAAAAATTGAAAAAAAATTATTATAATAATAAAATTGTTAAAATAGATGCGATTTGATGTGCACAAAAAAAAATAAAATAATAATATCATAAATTTTATTAAAAATTAATTTTTTTTTTTTTTAAAAAATAAAAATTTTTTTTAATAAAAAATTGAATAAAATAAAAAACGTTTTCGATTTATTCAATTTTTAATCAGCAAAATTATTAAAAATAAATAATTTATAATAAATAATGATAAATAGTAACATTTAAAGATTGTTTCTTTGTAAATAATCAATAGAAGTGTTTCATACATTTACTTATGGTGTAAATTTTCCTTTAGTCATAAATAGGACACCAGAGGAACTTTGTGAAAATTATAAATTTCAACCTCAAAAATATTTATATAAAAAAACAAGGATCTGATTTAGAATTTGAATCAAATGATTCACACTCACCATCAAGAGGCATTTAAAAGAGCTGAAACTCATCTTATTATTGTCAACCCTCATGTCTAATTAAACATTTAGATGGAGATCAATGCACGAAAATACTACCAATCAAGGGAATAATGAAAATGATGAAAGTGAAGATTATAACCTAAATGAAGGTACAGCTGAAGATGAAGTTTTTGATGGAGGAAGTAGAGGTATAGAAGATAGTACAGGCCAAGATGAAGATGATAGTACAGCTGAAGATGGAGTTGTTGATGGAAGAAGTTTTGAAGATTTGGCTTCTTTGGAAAAAATTTACATTTATCTATGGACGATAAAGGTAACACTAGTTTTAAAACTCGCACCAACAAACAATTTAGAAATAAATGGCTTATAGTTGTGTATATAATTATTTGAAGGAATGGGGGCTAGAAGAAATGGTACCAAAAACTGTTGTTGATAATGCGTATCAACAAATAGAGATTCTTAAAAAAGAAAACCAAAAAAATGAAGATTCATACAAAGAAATATATATAGTTCAAAAAGACAAAAGAATGAAAATAATTTCGTGAATCATTCAATTTCTAATGAAAGTTTATCTCAAACTGAAGTACCAGAGAAACTACACCAAACCAAATTAATTTAACAATTATTATTCCAACTGTTAGTCCAAATATTAGTTTGCCGATTCTAGTTCACCAAGCATTAACTCGGATCATGCTAGTTTATTATCCATTTTAGAAAAATATGCTAAAAAATGCGGAGCATCTTCACCATTTTTCTAAAATGGATAGAATACTAGCATGATCTGAGCATCTTCACCACTTCTTGCAACTGAACTAGAGCATGACATTTCTTTTTAATATTTGCAAAACAAGTTTTATTGGTAAAAAAAAATAATAATCAAAAAAAAAAGAAAATTATAAAATGGTGTAGAGATCATACTGCAGTGTTGGATAGTCAATTTAAATGTTCCAAAGTTTACCAGCCATATAATATTTATTAAATAAATTTTTTATATTAAAAGAAAATAAAAAAATAAATAAATAAATAAACAATATTTTTAGATTTAAAAAAAATATTAAGCTTTTTTTATTATCATATTCTGATAATATTCATATACATATGCATATACATACACACCCATAATTTACATATATATACAAATTCTTTTAGACACTTATACAATACTCACATTTTTACACATAAAATATTTTTATTATAAAAATTAAAAAGGATTTTATTTGTTTTAATTTAGTTATCTGCCATAAAATAATTTTTACTAAATTTATTATTTATTTGGTATGGCAGACTGAGATTCAAATTATCTTCAATGATTACCTTATATTTGGTTTTAAATGGTTGGAGAGTATTAAGATTATCCATAACAAAAGCAGGATCATTATACAAGATGGTTGAATTTTTATGGCTAACATAAAATTTAATGAGGTTTGGATGTCTATAATCTTCAGCAATAACAGGTTCACCAGGATGGATAAGGATTTTCAATGACGATGGAAGCCATGTGTTTGATAGAGGTTGGACATGATATCTTGATAGTTGAAGGATTTCAAGGGTTGCTGGAAAATAATTATTAGCAAACACTTCATTTTGATCACCATAAAATTTGATTGCACGAAGTGATGGTGGAAACCTAGTATTTACGGGATGTATAGCACCTAAACTAAAGTATACAAGATTTACCAATGGACTAAGGTCTAGATTACCATTTGGGACCAAACCTCCAAGGTCAAGCGATACTATAGATTTTGGTAAATGGCCAACACTAAATATTATATCAGCATCAAGAAGTCTAAGATGCTTTAGATGAGTGAGTGATTTTAACTCATCATTTGTAAATTCGAAAGGACTGGTACAATTTAGTTCTAAATAATTAAGATTCACTGGAAATTTTTGAAGTATTTCTGTTTCGGCATTAACGATAAGTTCATTAATAGTATTTGGTAATGTTGAATAATCGGAGGTTTTAATTTCTACAGATCTAACGTTTTTTGTAAAGTTTTGTGGTTGACATAACATTTCTTCACCAAAAATGATTGTATGAATATTTTCGGATGGAACAAAGAGACTGTTGAAATTTGGACCAAAAGATATTTTTTTAAGATGTATTGGTAATAGATCAGGAGTAATAGGATGGTTAAAGTGGCCGCCTAGTTTGAGATAGGTAAGAGACTCTGGTAAAGAACCAGGTAATAACGGAACATTATTACCAATCACTAGCATTATTAAATTTCTTGGAAGGATTCCTGGAGCAAACTGATGATTATAATTTGGGCAGTCAAAATTAAGCAAAGTAACAGAGTCTGGAATACTTTGGAAATACAATTCATGAGTGAAAGAAGCACCAATTTTTAGTTCTTTTAAAGTTCTTGGAAGCACGTATGGAAGAATTGGTTTATTAAAAAAGTTGGTAATATACAATTTAGTCAATCCATATGGGGGAAAAACTGGAATGTAATAAAGACATTCATTTATAATAATGAATTCATGAAGTGGATGATTATAATCTATTGTCAGTGTAAGTTCTTTTAAAGTACTTGGGATCATTCCTAGGTTAATTGGAACGTTATACTCCATATGGGCTAATTTCAAAGAGGTAAGATTCGGTCTAATGATAAAGGGCGAGTAATAATTAAAAATAGCAGGAGTATTAGTGATTGAATTAATGGTAATTTTTTTAATTTGATGCGAAAAACGGCGTAGTACGGAAATTACTTCTTGTTCATTGGTATCGGTTAATTTTACATTTAAACCTCCATAACACTGTAAAAAAATGGAGGACCCCAACAATTTATTATTTTCGGTAAAATAAATATTACACAGACGGAAAATTTTAAAAACGGCCTGTTCATCAGATAGAGAAGTCTGATTATCCATCTTTTCTATTTTTAATTAATATTAATAAAACAAATGCTTTTATTTTTTTAATTTTCTTTTTATTATAATTATTTATAATTTCATAATTTAATAATTTAATTAAAAAATAGAAATAAAAACACTAATCTGAATATATCTTTTACTTGTTTCAAACAACACCATAGTAATATTATATTAATTGTTAACAATCACTAATATACCTGTGTGTTTGGTGGGGGAAAGAAAATACTAAATTGTGTGAAGTGGGGGACAGGTATTTAAATAATATTAATGTTTAAATGCATAGAGTAGGGTATTAAAAAAATTTCAAACTCCATTATTCCTTTTTTTAAAAATAATAATTATTAATTTAAATAATGATTTACCTATTATAACTCTATCAATATTAAGTGACTTAATATTAATTATGATAATTTTTATTTTTATTTTGTTTGAATTAACAAGTAAGGTGATGCTATAAATTGCCATTGCCATATATATTCACAATTTATATTTTTTATTTCCTGATTTGAAAAAAAAACACTTATGGATCTTGATCTATACCAATTTAACATAATTTTTTTTGAACTTAAATATTTTTAAAAATAGAACAATGCAAAAATTATTAATTTTGATATATTAATGGGGGAAAAGTTAATTATTCGAATCCAAATTAGTAAATACAATTTAAATTAAACTTGTATTTTTTAAAAAAATAAATTATTTATTTTTTAATATGTATTTGTGTGGTTAAAATTTCACACAGTTAACACTAAAATGTATTGATAACATTTCAACACACTCTACCTTTCCCACTCAACACACAAATAAAATTATACACACACTCACTATCAAAATTTATAATATTAAGGAAAATGTTAATTTATATAACGTTTCAAATAGATATATTACATACACACTGTGATGTATATTTTTTTACCAATAAGATGTTCAATTATATCCATATATATAAATAAACATAATTGCAAAATGGAAAGTGGTAATTGATTTTCACTCACAAATACTTGAGCGCAGAATGAATAGTAGCTGAATATTTTAAAGTATATTGTGATTTGTCTATTATTATATTAAAATAATAAAATTAAATAACTTTACAATTATATTTTATAAGTGAAAGAATAAAAATTGATATAATTATTAAATTATAATAAAATTAATTTACGGTTTTTGATGGCAAAAAAAATTATGTTTGGAAAAATATCTTCATCACTTCGCATAATTATTAAAAATTTCAAATAAAATAAAATTTAAAAAAAAATAAAATAATTAAAAAAAATTTAAATTTTTAATTTTTTAAAAAAAAAAAAATACCTAATAATATTTATTATAACATAGTAATATCTTTAATAATGATAAATAAAAACAGATAGTAATAATTACAATATCCTTGCAGCCTCAGCAAAGAATTTAAATTAACATTAAAAAGAAAATGAAACTTCTTTGGTTACTTAAATAAATGTAAAGTTTTTAATGATTCAAACTTTGAATCATTAAAGGTAAATATAAATACTATTTCTCATATAACAGAACGTGGTAAATTGATTACAAACAATACTCGGTACTAACTAACCATATAAAAATAGTTTATAGAAATAATTAAAAAGAGGTTATTTAATCACTGCTTCAAGAAACATTCAAGCAAATAAGTGCGAATATAAAATATTAAAATGGTTTGAAGAGGTATTGGAAATAATCATACTTGAAGAGCATAAATATAATCATACTATAGAGAACACCACTCAAATCTAATATAAATACTTGAAAAATGTTAAAATTAAAAAGTAGTTACAATAAAATAATAATAATAAAAATAAGACACAATAATTTAGTGGTAGTAATAAAAATAATTTCAAACTTGTGTTTAAGCACAGAAATAGATGATAATAGAAGTAGTAATAATGATAAAACAACAAACAGCACAAATTTTTTTTGGTACCACTCAAAGAACTGAACACAATAGTAACTACAATAATAGTAATAAAATCAATACATTCAATGAGTTTTAAGAAGGCAATTTATTAAATACAAATAAAAGTAATAGTATTTTATAATTATAATAGACTCAAATTGGGTAATAATAAATTCATATGGCATTTTAATGAATTTCGCAAATTATCAAGATAATCTTAGAAATGGTATTCAAGTTGAAAACATATGGAAATTGAAAATATAATATAACAATAATAATAATAATAATAATAAAAACATAGGCAAAAGATTAGATTCGAAACCTTATTAGAAGTTATAAGCTCCAAAATAAAGCAAAATCTACCTTTGGGTTATAGTAATAATAATATTAAAATATATTCAAAATTTTTTTTATTATTGTTTATAATTATTTCTTTTTATTTATTTGTTTTTGTTATATTATTTGTTCTTTTTATTTCCTCTTTAAATTTGGTTGATTTTTAAATGTTAAAAATAGAACCATTAAAAATAGAACATTATTAATTTTTTCAAATATTAAAAGGAAATTAAGAAAAAATTTATAATGATGAAGATACAACGTTGTATATAATTTCATTAAAAATTAACAATCAAACTTAGATAAAAAAAAGCGGATAGGTGTGTTGCTCGTTTAACAAAACATAATTTTATCAAAACACTCACTATACAAATATTTGAAAAGCTTTATTTTACTTATTTTTTTATTAAAATTAAATTTTTTATTTTGTGCATGATTTTTTTGTGTGTTGATTCTTGGGTTTTTTTTTGTTTCTATTAAGTTGAAAGATATAACAACATTCCCCATATCACTTTTTTCTTGAGCGAATAAATAATCACATAATTTTTAGATTACCACTTCAATATTACCATTACTATTAATAAAAAAAATAAAAAAAAAATTAATTCATTATTTAATTTTATTTTACATATTAATTTAATATGGACATGTTGTATTTTTTTTGTTTATTTGTTGTATATTGGGGGTGTGTTGCATTAATTTCTTATCGTATTAAACTTTAAAAATTTTTTTATATCATATTGAATTTTGTATAAAATTTATAATCAACCAAAAAAAATTATTTAATATAACAGTATATGTAATGTATTATTTTTTATGTTCAGACCCAATACATTTACCCCCTCTACCCACAAATGTGTTTAAGTTCATATTATTTTTTATATTAAAACACAAAACAATAAAAATAAAAAACTTGATTCACACCCTCTACCACTAATTTTTATATTGTTCATTTTGTAATTTCTCTCATAAATAAAGTTAATGCACTTATACATTAATTTTTATTTTTTTATTGTTATAATTTAAAAAACTATTATATCATTATCACTAAATAAATTATTTCTATTAATATAATAATTATTTCTCTTTTTTATTAATTTTTAATAATACTAATAAAATAATTTTTAAAATGAAAAATAAACAATTATTAAAAATAAAAGAAAATAAAAAATCAAATAAATTCTGGTTAGAAGAGTCTGAACTCGATGATGATTTAGAAATTGAAAGTGATAGTTTTTTTTTTCCAAAAACAAGATCATTGAAAAGAAAAAAGGAAAAGAGTAATGAAAACGATAATCTTCCAAAATTCAGTCCAGATAAGCCATATTATGAAATTTTTGTTGATGAAGTAGTCACTAAAACCATTTATGTAACTGATTATGACATTGCTATTGCGATAAAAAATAAAAAAAAACTACTATAAAATCCCTACTCTGAAAATTTTTCAATAATAGATCTGTTTGATGCACCGGATGAGGAAGTAGTACTAAAGCCACCCAAACCCAACAATTCCAGTATCTCCATCATCAACTGATAATAATAACAATCAAGATATTAAAAAAAAAGAAGAGTATGTATAAATTTAAAAAATAATTATTTTTATTTTTAAATATTATTTACTAATAAAATTTTACAATAGTCCAAAGAATTAAACAAATTAAGAATTTGTGAAATAAATTTCCACAAAATAAATTAAAATTCCTTTTTACAAAATTTAAATATTACAATAAACATAAAAAACTATACAAAGTATTTTTAATGACTATTGATTTATTTTTATTTTTATTAATTTATTTTATTAATTTGTTTTATTTTTATTTTTTTTTGTTTGTTTATTTACTTAGTATAAATAACTTTTCACTCATCCAACTAATAGTTTTTAATTTTATTTTTTATAAGAAATTTAAACTTTATAAAAAATAAAATTAAAAAAATAAAACTATATATTTGTTTGGTGTATCTAATTTTTTTTTTATATGTATTATTTTATTTTTAAATAAATACACATCGTATAGAATTATAGTCGAAAATTTTTTTGCCAAAATAAAGAAATGGAAAGTTCTTACTGTACCATGGCGTTCAACTTCTAAAAATCATAAAATGATGTTTTTAATTTTGGTTTATCTAACAAATTTAAAGATAAAAAAGGTTCCGCTTAGAGATGAAGATTATTTCGTTGATGAAACTGAAAGCGAAGAAGAATATGAAAATATTCCATGTAATTGCGATGAATGTAGTGATAGTAAAAGTAAAGGTGATAGTGGTAGTGGTGGTGAAAATAAAGAAAATGATTCAGAATAATTATTATTATATTCTAATCATGCAATTTCATCAATTATTTATTCTATTTTTTAAAAAAATTATTTAAATAAATATTTTCTTTTTTTTATTTTAACTTTTTCAGATTTTTTTTTTTATTTTTTTTTTTATTTTTTATTTTTTTATTTTTTTTCAGTTTTTCCCAATATCATATTTATCACACATACACCAAAACTATTCTTTCATCAATAATAATTTATGATTTTGTATTTTATAAAAATAATAATAAAAAACATCAGTAACTTTTTTTAAAAATAATAATGATAGTGAAATAATATTGGTGTTGATGCTCTTAATGATCCAACTTGCTTTAACTTTAAAAAGAGAAAAACAAAAAAATCAATCGAAAAAGAGTAGGGTATTAAGTAACAACCAATTAAATTATAATTAAATACTAATTTAAATTTTATTTATTATTAGAGTTACTAGAAGTAATTACAATTGATCATATAATACAGTAATAGTTTTTTAGCTTGGTTAGTTTTACTTATTAAATGAATTGATTAATATCATTAAAGATAAAGAAAGATCAATTATCGATAGTGAAGTAAAGTTGGTAGAAATATTCAATGATCAAATAGTTTAGTATAAATATAAAAATAAAACAATTATAGACATTAGCAATAATCGATTGTGATTTAGATATTGATGAAGGTTTTTTTTGTTTTGAAATTGGTAGATAAATTCAAGTACCTAAGTTTTAAAAATAGCATTTAATAAATTAAAAGAAGTTCAAGAAATTGCAATTAGAGAATTCAACTGTATTATAATTGATAAATACTGCATCCATAAATTATTAAACTACGACTAGGACTAATAAACAATAAAAAAAATATTTTATTTATAGTTTTATCAATTGTTATTTATTTTTTTAAATTTTATTTTTATGGGATCAATATTTTGTATACCGAATTTTTTTTTCTTTGAGACTATATGAATTTCATAAAAGTCCCGTTGTTGTAATTACGGTTGTAGTAGTTGCCGTATAGTTGGTTGTAGTTATATTAGGTATTTTGTGTATTGTGAGTATTGTTGTTGTTGTAGAGTCTGTTGTGGATCATTTAATTGCACTCTTTCTTGTTCTCGGATATGATATTGACGAATTTGTTGCATCCTTAATGCAGTTTGACGTTCTATCTCTTCTGGGGTTGGTTGGGATCCGGTTTGAACAATTTGCCATACATTTGGTTGGGTTTGCTGGGTACTCATATCATCGAAATTTAGTTGAACTGGATAACCATTATTGAAGTTTGGATATGTATTAACTTGGACATAATCAATTTGAAGAGTATTGAATGATCTAGAATCATCTAAGAGATTAGATGGACCACAGTTAGAATCAGAAGATTCTGAGACAACAAGTCTTTTTCTTGAATAACAGTAATTTGATAGATCTGTTAATTTACGGATAACTTTTTGTTTTGGGGGTACATTTACTAAAGTATCAAAGCAAAGAACTTCATTAATTGGTGGTAATGTTTCTTTTTTAATAATCTAAATTATTAAAAAAGTTGCATGAGTGAAGCGCATTCCACAATGGTTTAAAAAAAAAAAATAAAAAAAAAAAATAAAAAAAAAAAAACAAAAAAAAACAATATATTAGTATAAAGCTATAAGAAAAAGCAAAATATATTTTAGAATAATTACCTCTGGAAGAGAATCAGACATTTTTTAGAAATTATAAATTTTCTTTGTATCCAAGAAGAATTTATTGATAATAAAAAATGATGTGAAATGAAATATTTAAAAGCAATTAAAAAAAAAATATAAAAAAATAATATTTTAATCATCCAAAATTAATTGCATTGTCTATTAACAATAAATACATACTTGTTTTTATTATTGTTATTATTTGTATGTTTTTTTAAAAAACTTAAATTTTTTTAAGTTGTCGTATTCTATTTTTAATTTTTTTTTTTATTATTTCTATTTTTTCATATTTAATTTTGTTTCCATTATAATCTAATATGAATGATTATAAGAAAAGAAAAATAATATGATGATTAATGGAATATAATAATATGTGAAATAAATTTAATTAGAGCACAAACACACAACAAACACACAACAAACACACAACAAACAAAAACAACACACAACACACAAACACCTAACAGACACTATAAAAATTGAAATGGATTGAAAGTTAAGTAGATTGGAATTTTATTGAAAATAAACTATATAGCTGTATTATTATTTATTAAATTTTGTATTGATATCGAATATTGAACACACTGTTTGTAGAAAAAAGGGATGGAACATCAACACAAATCTATTAAACCGAATTAGTTTTCTTTTTTATTTATTTTAAACAATAATAACAATAATAAACATAATTTAATTTAATTACATACTAAAATTGTTATTATATTTTATTATTATATTTGTTTTTTGAGACAAAATACAATATTGTGTTTGCTAATTTAATATAAAAAACTTTTAATGCTACCTAATATTTCAAATTTTTTTTTTTTTTTTTTTATTTATATTTTTTTATTTAAATTATAATTAAATCTGTTATTGCTTCATTATAACATCATTTTATCAAATTGATAATAGTATTGAAAAATGTGTGATGTTCTGTGTGTGAGTTTGTTGATGTTTGTGTGTTTGAAAAAAAAAAAAAAAAATTTTTGGAAGCTCTGTATATGTAACCACCAGTGTTTTTTATTTATTTTTCTATTTTTTAATTGGATGGCTGTGTGAATGATTTGTTGAAATTATAAAAATATACAATAATAATAAAAAAACACATTGGAACGATAAAAAATAACAACAACATTATGATAACTACAATAAAAACAGCAAATACAAAACATAACTTAATCAACTGTGAACGTTACTTTGTTTAGTATATCTACAATTATTTTTTTTAATTTTTATTTTTTTTTGCAAAACAACAAAATAGTTTTATAAATAAAAAATATGTAATAAAGTTGATTTGAGGGTACTTTTCATTTATGAAATAGAGACAGCATCAGTTTCATCAACCTCTTTTATACATATAAAGGTATTTATTATTACTGCTCTTATTATTTGATAATATGGATTATTTATTGTTTATTTTAAATATATTTATATTGATCAAATGACATGACTAGGTATTTAATAGTTGAATGAGGGTTAAGTTGTACATTTGAAATTATTATATAACCATAACCTAGAAAGTGGATTATTGCCCTATCCTATATTATTTAACATAATGACTGAACCATAGCACTCTGTATTTGGATTTGCGATGAATAAAACTGAACTGTGGAACAACGGGAAAATCACATGTTTATGATGCCAGGTTTCGAAAACTACTATTATAAACTTGGACCTTGACTCAAATGTTTTACTAGATTTGCATATTAAAATATGTGTTGGAAAAGATGGAGAGTGTTTCTATTAAACGATATACAATTCACTCTGGATTACTATACTGATAAGTTCCAGATGCCTGATAGGTTCCTGAAATTTGTCATGATATTTACACGTCTCATTTTGTCAAGATAGATAGGAGTATATCTGAAAAAACAATATTTCAGTTGGTGAAATACAGCCTTGGAACTCGATTTTAATATAATAGAGAATCTATGATCATATAATAAAGAAATATTATCAATTCGAAGTTTAATAAATCAATGCAACATTAAACTTTGAAATCAAGAAAACTAACCTAAAGTGGTGCATTAGGGTAAAGAAAACTTTATAATATAATAAAAAAATAATAATTATAAAAACTGATTTACATATATAAAAAAAATAAAGGTTTTATGAAAAATAGATGTAAAAAGTAGCAAAAATTAAAATTTATTTAATAAGAATTTCAAATGGTTGGCCATATACTTCAAACTGATATTTATTATTACCACCATCTTTAATATTAAAATATTATTAAATGATGGTTTATAATATGATTATGTATATTAAGAAATGAATTCATTGTTAAAGATATGTTGGGTACATTTGATTTATAAGTATTCATTTTATAATACACAAATCATATTATTTGAAATTCTTTAAGTGAATTTGTTGATATTTGGTTGCTTTATTATAGTTGTTGTTGTAGCAGTTATATTTGCGCAGTTGTTGTTATTATTGTTGCAATTATTACCCATATTATTATTCAAATTAAAATTATTAAAATGATTATAGACAATATTTAAATTATTATTTGTTTGATTATTAATATTTTTTTGATTACTATTGTTTTTTACTCCATTTCGGTTATTTTTAATAGTTTGTTTTTCTTCTATCATTAAATATTCCATATAGTTGTAATATTTTATGTTTGTATTTTTTTCTACTCCAAAGGATGAAAAAATTCCACCAAACAAATGAGGAGGGGCAGTTGGTTCATTTATAATATAAGAGACCTTTAATTTGTATTCTAGATTCTGGGATGGGTTTTCTAATGTGTATTTGATCACTGTTTTGTTATCACATATTACTTCTTTATCTTCTTTTAAAACTTGATTACAATTTGGATTCATGTTAATTTATTATTTTTTAATATGAATATAATTCTTATGAAGTTTAAAATTCTATTATTATCCAAATAATTAAATAAAAATGAAATTTAAAAAAACAAATTAAATTTTTTTTTTTATTTTTTAAAAAGGTTTATCTATTATAATTGAAACAAATTTGGGAAGGGGGTATTTTCAAAGATTGAGTTTTTATATGGGTGTATGCGTGTGTGAATTAAAAAAAAAACTTTTTAAAAAAAACTTGATGATAAAAAATAAATTTTAAAGAGGTTTAATATTATTGTATTATTAGATTTAATATAATTTAAGGATAACAAAACAATTAACAATATTATTAATAAATCACATACATTGAGATTTAGAAAAAATTAACAAAATTATTAATTATTTTTAAGTTTATATCCTTATTTCAAATAATTGAAAAAAACCCCACTCACAAACACATACAAATAAATACAAACAATCTTTTATCCCCCACATATATGCTCTCACACTCACTGAAAAAAAACAAATACATAGTAATTTAATATCATGTAAATTAAAAACAGTTTATTACCATCTAAAAAATTTGAACAACAATAATATACATTTTTCCTCATATTAAAAAAAAATAAAAGATATATAAATTTAAGTTTAATTATTAATTCATTTTTCTTTATTATCTTTTAGAGGGACATACCCTTCAATTTTAAATTAAAAAAAAAACATAATTTTTATTGTTCAATGTGTATAAATCACTACACTACTTTTGTTTATTTGGTTCTGCTCAATAATTTTGAAATAAAACAAATTGGTTAGAAAAAATTAAGTTTTTATAAAAAAAAAATATAAAAATTTTATTTAGTTAGCATTAGTTTTTAATTATTTTAAAAATGCTTTTTCTTATTTTTACTGTAAAAATATTTCCATCGGTTATAAAAAGCAACCCTGTATTTTCAAAAGAAAATATGTTATTATGATCTTTGATAATACTGGGAAAAGCCCTTATGACTAATTCTAATTCGAAAATTGAAAGAGATGTCCCAGCCATGAAAGTCGATGTTATAAATGGTAATGGGTCTATATACACGAGGTATCTAATATCACCCTTGTATATATTGAAAATATTTGTCAGAGTTTGGTACTGTTGCCCGCAACCATTACATAAAAAACAGTCGCTAAATTAGAGAAAAAAAATATTAATATTTTTGTAAACAATAAATCAATAATGTTAAACTTACTCGGGGCCCATTGTCCATACAGTTGAGGTAGCTTTGCATCTCTTACTATTAAATTTATTAGATATATTTGAAATTAGTAAAAAATAAAAAAATATTATATAATTAACCATTCGCTAGCCTTTTTACTTGATTAATTATATATATATATAATTAATTTTACTTACCAAATTTTATCTGAAGGTGCACCTTCCTTCTAACATTTAAATTATTACAATTTTTTTCTTTTAAATTTTCCATGTTTTTTTATTTTGAATTAATGAATGAATAATAATTATAATGAAACAAGTTTTAATCATTTTTTAAAAAAAAATAAAAAATAAAAAAATAAAAATTAAATAAAATTTAAAAAATGAACTTAATTTTAAATTTTTTATTTAATATTAATATATATTTTTTTATATAATATTAATATTAGGTTATTACTATTATAATATTGAAAAGGTGTTTGAAAAATTATGTGATTGGTTATTTGTTAATAAAAAAGTAATATGGAGAACGTTGCTTTGTTGTAGGGGTAATAAATTTTTGTGTTAATGTTATCTCTTTCACCAAAATAGAAACAAAAAAAATAGAACAAAATTAATAATTAAAATTAATAAAAATATTAAAAAAAAATAATTATATTTTTATCTTTAAAAAACAAGTAAAAGCTATTTCAAATATGGGTATAGTGAGTGTGTGTTTTTATAAAAAATAAAATACACCTACCACACATTTGCATAATGAAAACACACGTATCTGTTTTTTTTTTCTCTATTGTTTTTTTTAGAAACCCACCCACTATCCAAATTTGATTGTTATTAAAAGAAATTATATAACGTTGAACCTTCATCATTATAAATTTTAAAAAAAAAAAAAACAATACAATATTATAATTATAATAAAAAATATTGTTCTATTTTTAAACCATTCTATTTTTAACACTTGAGACTCAATTAAATTTTAAAGAGTCAATTAAAAGAACTCTATACAAATAAATAATAACATAAAAACAAATAAATAAAAACAAATAATAATTATTTCTTTTTATTTTTTATTATTTTTAACAAATAAATAAAAACAAATTTGATTTGAATATATTTTAAAATTATCAACTAAAAATATTTTATTTTTATTTTATTATTGTTGTTACTATAACCTAAAGGTTGATATTGACTTTATTTTGAAGCTAATAACTTTTCTAAAAAGGTTTTAAATTTTAATCTTTTGCCCATAGCATTCATACCTAAGGAAATTAATTAAACATCATTTGGTAAACTGTCAGAAATAAAAACTAATGTTCCTCCATCTATTACACAAACTTTGAGAGTTGAAATGATTTCTATGGGAAATTTTAATGATGTTAACCATTCACTAACCTTTTTATTTGATCAATCGTTAACAGTATCTCTTGAATCTTTGCTATACACTGTGTTGCTATTCATTGTTAAACAAAAAGCTTACTCATGAGAACATTGTTTTTGCTATTGTTGTTATTTCTGGTAATTGTTATTATGAATATTATTATTATTACTATTATATTATATTTTCATTAAATTTCCATATGTTTTCATTGACTGAATACCATTTCCAAGATTATCATAATTGATTTGATTATTGCATTATCTTATATTATTTAAACACTACAATCAGTACGATTGAATTATGGTACTCTATATCTGTATCTGTTTTTTGTTTAATAGGCTAGAATCTGCTTCTTTTTAAAAGAATGTTTAAAGGTAGTTTGTCTGTAAGTAGTTTGTGATGGATATCATTACTGATCTTATAAATAGTTTGCACTTTGATCAATACTGATTGTGTTATTTTAAATCTTTAAAACCTCAGTTCCATAATCATAGCCAAAACAAAAGATCACAAGGAATAACCCCATACTATTGTTTATTACTGCTATTATCGCTGTTATTATTATTTTATTTATACTTTCATTATTTATTATTATCTGATTATTTTTTGAAATAAATAATTAAAATAAATATAATATTGGAAATATAATTTAAATAAATAAAATGTGGGCTGGGTTGTAAAAAAAAAAAAAAAAAAAAAAAAAAAAAAATGAAAAAAAAATTTAAAAAAAAAAAACTATTGCGCAATTTCAAAAAAAAAAAAATTGTATTTTGAAATATCTTTTTTTATTTTTGTGTGATCGTATTTTGAAATATCTTTTTTTATTTTTGAATTTTATTTTTTGCAAAATAAATTTAATATTTTCTATTTTAGAAAGAGAAAAAATATTGCATAATAAAATACTCAATAAATTTTGCATGCAACTTTTTGTGTGATAAAATTTTTTTACTTAAAAAAAATATTATTAAAAAAATATTATTAAAAAAAAAAAAATAAAAAAAAATAAACGAATAAAATAAATAAATTTAACTTCAAAAAAAATATATATTCAGATTAATAATAAAAAAATAATCAGATATATAATAAAAAAATTAACACTTTTAAATATATAACAAAAACAGTTATTTCTTTTGATGCAAAAAAAAATTGTGTGATTTTATATAAAGCTCGAAATGGTTATGGGTTATCTAGGTTTTTACCTATAAGTTTTAAACCCAATGGTTATGTATACCTAAAGGTATTGTTAATTTTGTTGGATAACCATATCTGTGGATAATGTAGGTTGTGTGAGAAGGTATGTACCCATCTGGAGTTTCATTAATAATTCAAATTATGTTAAAGTAATAAATAAATATAATTCAGATAAAAAATAAATAAATAATAAATATAAAAATAAAGAGTATTATATTTTATATTAAATTTTTGCCACTAAAATTTTTTAATTGCAAAAGTAAAATATTAACATGTCAACAATAAAATATGGTTAGTGCCCTATTTTTTGAAGAAAAAAATTATTTATCAAACCAATTAAAAAAAAATAGATTTTAAAATTGTTTATAAAAATCTTATCATATAAAAAATTCATCAGCATCCCCTCCAAATACCCTATTTTTAAATTATTATTTTAATTTTTTAAAAAAAAAAATATTTTTATAAAAAGACCGCATTAAAAAAACAGCGCGATTTAAATCACCATCACTTTTTGAAAAAAAATTACAAAGAGACAAAAATTTTTCTCTTTCTTTTAAAAATTTTTTTTAAAAAAAAGTTTTTTTATAATAATAATAAAATCTAAAGTATATCTAATTAAAAACAAAAAAAAAAAAAAAAAAAAAAAATCTTCATTTTATAATAAAAAAATAGAAAAATTCTATTACATTGTTGTTGTTAATAATGGTTTAACATCATTTCTTTTACATTGATAATATTTTAATTCCTTAAATATAGTAAAGGCTTAATTTAAATTATTATTTTTTTTTAACACTACTAAATCCAAAATATGAATAAGGATATTCTCTAAATTATTAAATGCCAAATAACCTCTATCTTTTTCTTGATGATTATTTATTGTTTACCTATACATAACTCTTTAATTATAGAATGTGTGATCGAAATAGAACACGATAATTCGTTGGGTGAGCCAAGATGTAAAGTCTTTGTAATTATCGGTTTTATGTTCAATCAATTCCCGAACAAGCGCAATATTATAATAATTAAAATAATAATCAAAAAAAAAAAATAAAAAAATTTTTATTTTTTTTTTTTTTTTTGTTCATTTTAATATATTGGTGTAGTGTAGTGCTGTGGATTTTTTTTAAAAAATTGTTTCACAAAATATCTTCAAAAAAAAAAAATTCGAAATATTTTTTTTTTTTTTAAAATTTTTTTTCATCACAAAAAAAAAAAAACAATATTTTATTTTTTTGTATCAAAGTACTAGTAAACTTATTAATTTATAACTGTAATAACCCAAAATTTAATTTAATTTTTTTTTTATTGCAGTGTATTAATAATTAAATTATATATTTTAAAAAAAATCAATAAAAAGATGAATAAAAGAGCAAATAAGGCCAATGCTACCGATGATGTTATTAATACTAATGCTGTTAATGCTGAAAAAGCCCCCAGTCCAAACTCCATCGTCAAAAAGGCAAGATCAGTATTAGAGTATTGCTTCAATAAAAATCCATTCCCAGACTCCATCGAGAAAGACATCATCTCCTTTCAATTAGGTTTAACCCACACTCAAGTCGTTACATGGTACAAACACAAAAGAGAAAGCTTAAAGAGATCTAACAACACATCCTACAAAGATTTCTTTGTCCCAAAGTTTTCTAAAAATACCAACGAGTTAAACTTTTTCTTCCACAATTATCGATATCCCACCGAAGAGAATATTTTATACTTTGCATTAATCTATGGTGTTACCTTAGAAAAGATCAGAATATGGTTCTTGTCTAAAAGTTACAGCATGAAAAAAACACAAGCTTCCAATGGTAATGGTTTAATTGATGAAGATTTTTACGATATTAGCAATCATATGGTTACAGAAGATGAAAATATACCAAAAAGTGTTAAAGCTTTTAATCATAGAGCTTTCACTATTGACACCATCTCAGAATCCAAATTGAGAGATCTTTTAATCAAAAGAAGAAGAGTTCTAAAATCCTATTCTTTAGAGTTTCTTCTTAACAAAAAAAGAAATCAAGATGGAACAAGTGCTTTTTTAAATAATGATGATACTACTGCTACCACCACCGCCACTACTACTACTACTACTCCTGCCACTGCCGCTGCAAAGAAGAGAGCTACAGGAACTCCAATTCAATCCAACAATAATGTTTGTTTATTCAACAATGTTATTATCAATGATAATGATAATATGAATAATATGAATAATATGAATAATATGAATAATAATAACAACTCTAATTATTCATTCAATAATACCACTCATAATATAAATTTTAATTTAAATAATAATAATAATAATATGAATAATAATAATAATAATAATATGAATAATAACAGAGTCTTTAGCACAAATATTCCATCCAATAGTATTGACAATCCAAACAAAAAATTATCAATTGGTTTTTTAGTCAATAACTAATAAATTTCTAAACTGCAAATAAAAAAATTATAACATTATATTAAAATGTAGAAAATAAATAAAATTTAATAATGAATTTAATTTTTTATTATTATTATAAAATTATTATTATATTATTATTATTATTAATTCAATTTTTTTCTTCTTAAACTTGCAAAATAGTTATTAATTTTATAATTATAATAACTTTTTTATTTTAACTAAATTTGGTTGGGAAACTATTACCATTATTTATTAAAAATTGCTTTTATAAAGAATCAATAGAAATGTATGTATACTACTTTCATCATTAACATACAGAATACCAACCATTTATTTTTTTTAAATTGATTTTTTATATTAAAAGAAAATAAAAAATAAAAAAAATTAAAAAATATATAAACAATATTTTTAGATTTTAAAAAATACTTGGGCTTTATTATTATTCATATTCGTTTAGACATTTATACAATACTCATATATATTTACACATACAATATTTTTATTTTAAAATTAAAAAAGTTTTTATTTGTTTTAGTTTAGTTATTTGCCATATAAAATCTATTACTATATCTATCCTTTCTTTGGAATGGTAGATCAAAATTTAAAAGGTCTTCAATGATTACGCCATGTTTAGTTTTATATGTATCCATAATTCTATAATTAGCATTAATAAAATCAGAGTCTCTAATTACCGATCTATTTCTATAACTAATATAAAATTTCAAGAGATTTGGATGTCTATAATCTTCAGCAATAACAGGTTCACCAGGATGGATAAGGATTTTCAATGACGATGGAAGCCATGTGTTTGATAGAGGCTGGACATGATATCTTGATAGTTGAAGGATTTCAAGGGTTGCTGGAAAATAATTATTTGCAAACACTTCTTGTTGAGTACCATAAAATTTGATTGCACGAAGTGATGGTGGAAATGTAGCATTTACGGGATGTACATCACCTAAGCTAAAGAGTTGAAGATTTACCAATGGGCTTAGGTCTAGATTTTCTAGAGGATCATCTGTGTCTATACATTCAAGGTCGAGCGATACTAAGGATATTGGTATTTGGGCAACATTAATTCTTATATAAGCATCAAGAAGTCTAAGATGCTTTAGATGAGTGAGTGGTTGTAACTCATCATTTCTAAATTCGAAAGGATTTGGACAAATTAGTTCTAAATAATTGAGATTCACTGGAAATCTTTTATGTCTTTTTTTTTCGGCATTAATGATAAGTTCATTAATAGTATTTGGTAATTCTGAATAATGGGAGTTGTTGACTACTACACATCTGACATTGTTTGTAAAGTTTTGTGGTTCACAAGTCATTGCTTCGCCAAAAATGATTGTATGGACATTTTCAGGTGGAACAAAGTTACTGTTGAAACTTGGACCAAAGGAAATTTTTTGAAGACTTTTTGGTAAAACATTAGGAGTAATAGGATGGTTAAAGTGGCCGCCTAGTTTGAGATAAGTAATAGAATCTGGTAAAGATCCAGCTAATAACGGAACATTATTACACATCTTTAGTTTTTTTAAATTTCTTGGAAGGATTCTTGGAACAAGCTGATGATTATAATTTGGGCAGTTAAGATTAAGAAAAGTAACAGAGTTTGGAATACTTTCGAAATACAATTCTTGGGTGAAGGAAACACCAATTTTTAGTTCTCTTAAAGTTCTTGGAAGCACGTTTGGAAGAATTGGTTGATTAAAAGAGTTGGTAATGTACAATTTAGTCAATCCATATACGGGAAAAACTGGAGTGTAATAAGGGCAATTGTTTGAAAGATGGACTTCATGAAGTGGATGATTATAATTTGTTGGCAAAGTAAGTTCTCTTAAAGTACTTGGGATCATTCTTGATTTAATTGGAACGTTATACTCCATATCGGCGAATTTCAAAGAGGTAAGATTCGGTCTTATGATTGAGTAATAATCAAAAATAGAGGGAGTTTCGGAAATTGAATCAATGGTAATCTTTGTAACTTGAGAAGAAAAGTGGATTAACTTTAAAAAAATATCATGTTCATTTGTATCGGTTATTTTTACATTAAAACTTCTATAATACTGTAAGAAATAGAGAGACCCAATTAGATTATTATTTTCAGTAAAATAAAGATTACACAGACGGAAAATTCTTTTTAAAATGGCCTTTCTGATAGATAGAGTGAGATTACTCATTTTTGCAATTTTTAATAAATATTTATTAATAAAACTATTATTTTTTATATTTTTAATTTTAATTTTTTTTGTATATATTTTTTTTTTTTTTAATAATTTATAATTTCAAAATTTTTTAATAAAAAAAAAAAAAAAATAGAAATAAAAACACTAATCTCAATATATCTTTTACTTGCTTCAAACAACACACATGGTGATACTTAATGTTAATTGTTAACAATCACCAAATACATTTGTGTTTGGTGGGGGAAAGAAAAAAAAAATATTTAATTGTGTGAAGTGGGGGATAGGTAATTAAAAAAAATTAATAATTAAAAGCATAGAGTAGGGTATTAAAAATATTACCAACTCCATTATTACTTTTTAAAAATATTAATTTTTTAATTTAAATTATGATTTACATGTAATTACTCTATCAGGATTAAGTGACTTAATAATAATAAATTATAATTTTTAATTGTTTGAATTGACAATTAAGGTGATGCTATAAATTGCCATTGCCATATATAAATACAATTTAATTTTTTTATTTTCAAATTTTAAAAAAAAAACATATGGATCTTGATCTTTTTCGATTTAACAAAATTTTTTTTAAAATTAAATTTTTTTTTTTTGAACTTAATTTTTTTTAAAAATACAACAACACAAAATTTATTAATGGGGAAAAGTTAATTATTGGAATTCAAATTAGTATATACAATTTATTTTAATAAAAAAAAAAACAAATTTATTTTGAAAGAGCGAGAATGTTTGTGTGGCTATTTAAAAAAATTCAAATAATTATCACAAATAAAAACTTTTATTTTTTAATTTATTTTTAATATGTATATGTGTGGTTAAAATTTCACACATTTAACACAAAAATGTTTTGATAACACTCTACCTTTCCCACTCAACACACTCACTATCAAAATTAATAATATTATATTGGTTATTATCTATTAATTTAACATTGGCATTTCAAATAGATATATGTAAAATATACATACACACTGTGATAAATGCTATCTTGCTAAGAAGACGTTCAATTTGTTCTAGTAATTGCTTCTATTGAATTTTGTTGAGTATTAAGTGTTAAAAATAGAACAATTTAAAAAATAGAACATTATTTATTTTTTCAAATATTAAAAGGAAATTAAGAAAAAATTTATAATGAATGAAGATACAACGTTGTATATTGTTTCATTTATTAACAATCAAATTAAGATAAAAAAAAAGCGGATAAGTGTGTTTGAATAAATTTTTTTTTATTTTATACTGATACTATTTGCTCGTATAAAAAAATATAATTTTTATCAAAATACACACTCACTGAACCCATATTAAAAAAAACTTTTACTTGTTTTTTTAAAGAAAAAAATATTTTATTAATAATTTTTTTTTTTCTATTGTTTTGAAAAAGATGACAATATTCTCCATATCACTTTTTTTTTCTTGAACAATAAACAATCACATAGTTTTATTTTACATATAAATTAATATGAAGATGTTATAATTTAAAAATATATTTTTTGTAAAATGGGGAGTATGTTGCCTAAAATACCAATTTCTTATATCGTATTAAACTTAAAAATTTAGGTAAAATTTTTTTTTTTTTTTTATCTTATTATTTTTTTATATCATATTGAAATTTGTATAAAATTTATAATCAATCAAAAATAATTTTTTTAAAATAATTTATTCATTTTTTATGTACAATTCCATATATTTACCCCCTCTACCCACAAATGTGTTTAAGTTCATATTATTTTTTATATTAAAACAAAACAATAAAAATAAAAAACTTGATTCACGCCCTCTACCACTAATTTTTATACATTAGTTTTTATTTTTTTATTGTTATAAAAAAACTATTATATCATTATCACTAAATAAATTATTTCTATTAATATAATAATTATTTCTCTTTTTTATTAATTTTTAATAATACTAATAAAATAATTTTTAAAATGAAAAATAAACAATTATTAAAAATAAAAGAAAATAAAAAATCAAATAAATTCTGGTTAGAAGAGTCTGAACTCGAGGATGATTTAGAAATTAAAAATAAAAAATCAAATAAATTCTGGTTAGAAGAGTCTGAAATCGAAGATGATTTAGAAATTGAAAGTGATAGTTTTTTTTTTCCAAAAACAAGATCATTGAAAAGAAAAAAGGAAAAGAGTAATGAAAACGATAATCTTCCAAAATTCAGTCCAGATAAGCCATATTATGAAATTTTTGTTGATGAAGTAGTCACTAAAACCATTTATGTAACTGATTATGACATTTGCTATTGCGATAAAAATAAAAAAAACTACTATAAAATTCCCCTTACTCTTGAAAATTTTTCAATAATAGATCTGTTTGATGCACCTGATGAGGAAGTAGTACTAAAGCCACCCAAACCAACAATTCTAGTATCACCATCAACTGATAATAATAACGACCAGGATATTACAAAAAAAGAAGAGTATGTATAAATTTAAAAATACTTATTTTTAAATAAAAATATAATATATTAACCAAAAAATTTTACAATAGTCCTAAAAATTAAACAAGTTTTTAATAATAGATCTCAGCCAAGCAAAAAAAATTCCTTTTTTTTACAAAATTTATATTTTTCAATAAACATAAAAAACTATACAAAATATATAGCTAATGACTATTGATTATTTTTTCATTTTTATTTTTATTATAATTTTTATTTTTATTTTTATTTTTATTTTTATTTTTATTTTTATTTTTATTTTTATTTTTATTGATTAATTTGTTAATTTTTTTTACTTATTTATTTTTTGGTTTATTCATTTGTTTTTATTTATTGAGAGTTATTTTTGTATGAATAAAATAAATTTTAGATCTATGTATTATAGTTTATGAATATTTCAGGTGTTTTAAAATTAATATGATATTCTCAAACTTGAAGCATTTGGAGGAAAAACCTATTGGTATTTTTATATAAATATTTTTATATACAATATTAGAGTGCATTTATTATTTTCTTCAAAATAAGGGATGTCAATAAATCATATGAAAAATTTGTATTTAAATAATTTGGGATTAAAAAGACAAAAAAAAGCGTAGCATATTATAAAAATTGAAAAACTCTTTAAAAAAAGGGGCGGAAAAGAAAAAAATTATGAATAGCCATTGTATTATTGAAGAGATTGAATATTCACAAAAATTCAAAGAGCTTATAAAAATTTACAATTTTATTATTGAATAAAAATACCAACCAAAAGAAAAATACAATAAAATAACACAAGAACTAAATCAACTACCATTAAATATAAAACAATTTATTAATAAACAACTAAACTCAACTATTGATACAATATCACAATCAAATGATAAATTTTTGAAACCAATTATCCATCAGATTCTCAAAGTAATATATTCAATATAAATTAAAATTCAAAAAATTAAATCTTAAACCAATTATGTATAATATACTTTGTTGAAAAGTCTAGAACCGATCAAGTTTTTACAAAAAAAAAAATTTATGATTGGGCAGATCTATTCACAGTTATAAAAAGTGGTGAATGCATTGATTATCAAGCTAGTCCAGTTAAGTCATTACACTAACTTTCACCATAATGGATGGATGGTTTTGAAAATGCCATTTTTTCATGTAAATAATTTAGAACCAATAGATCTATTTATAGTTTAAAATTGCATTTGTATTAATATCGAATGATTGAACAACCTCAAATTTTACTCCTGATTCCTTTAACCCATAATGCATACCACCAATTCCACTATAAAACTCGAGCACTCTTAACTCCTCTTCATCATTATTATTTGCATTAGAAGCTGACGTGGTGTTTTCCATTCTGTGAAAAATATCTAATATTAAATTTAATATTAATAATTATACATCGAACCTAAAAATCGATCTTTCAACATTTCTTGCTTGAGGTATTCTTGATCAAAACCGATTAAAGTATCTGCATCATTATAAATAATTTCATAATCTTATTCAGATTGGTAAATAGAACATTTATTTTAGATGTGAATTTACCATTCTTGATATATATACTAAAAGTTGATGATCGTTTACTATTCTAATTTACCTCCATTTATATAACCTCAAAATTTCCTAATAGCTTGGACAATATCAAAACATTCTTTTTCTGTAATAGTGCACCTAGTTTGAGTATTATTTATTGAAAATAATAGTTTTAGCTGGAGAAGTTTGCAATAGATTTTCAGCAACCACCACTTCCACAAGTACCCCTAATCACAAATCTATCAATGTGAAAATTGCTAAAATGCTGTTTCTTTTTAACTTTAACCTGTGTGTTTTTCTTTAAACCAGGCGATTTTAACATTACAAAAAAAAAATAAAAAAAATTAAAAAAATATTTATTTCTCAGATAATTTTTTTATTTTTTTTTTTATTTTCTCAAAGGAAAATTAATTTAATAAAAAATATGTTTTTACTAAAAATTCATATAATATATACTTTAAATTAGAATGTGTTTATTGTTTGTTAAAAATCAAGTAAAAATATTCATATAGTATTTGAAATTTGTTACTCTTAATTTTATTATTGAAAGTAGATTAATGTTTTTATTTATAATATTCATCTCGATATATCACTTCTGTTTTAATAAAAAGAGTCTACAAAATGCTGTACATAGCAACGTGGTCTTTTTTTATAATATCCACTTTGATTAAAAAAAAATCCAATATTGGTAAAGTGAAATATAAATTATATTTTTAGAGCTATAAAATTTGCATTACAAAAAGCAGTTTTTTTTTTGGGGGATTCACCCATTATAAAGATTTAATTTTTTTACAAAATATGACCCCTATCTCATTCCATTTTTTTTAGCCTATTAGTAAATGAGATTCATTCACCCAAATATTTGAAAATTTATATTACAAAAAAAAAAATTGGTGTTTATATATCGCGCAATACAATAATACTTTATATTTAATCCAATAAAATCAAAAGTAACAATTCATATTACATATTTTTTATAAATAAAGATTTAAAAAAAATTAAAAAAAAAAATTTCGAAAAAAAACAATTTTTTTTTTTTAAGTGAATTATGTGAATCATTTTGATTTTTTTTTTTAAGTGAATTATGTTAATTATTTGATTTTTTTATTTGAATTATTTGATTTTTTTTGTAATTTTTTAATAAGGGGCAATTTAATTGTTCAACAGATATTTATCACTCAGAAATAATCGATATTGCTGTTTTTTTTTTTTGACATATTTAATTTAAAAAAAAATAAAATACAAAAATAACCCAAATTTTTTATTATTATGATAATTAAATCAATAGTTGGATTTTTTTTTTTTTAATATACACCTTTAATATTTGAGAATTAACCAAAATTGTTTTTATTAATTTTTTTTTTTTATTGCTTTTAATTTTATTATTTTAAATGAATTTATCAAATTTAATATTATTATTAAAGATATTCAATTCATATATTAATCAAATCAATTTTTGATATTTTAAATAGGTATAATTTTGGTATTATATTCTTTATTTTTAATTATTTAAATTGTTTTTTTCCATTTACTAATACACATTTTTTTTTTATAAAATTATTAGTAAAATGCCACATGGTAAACATAAAAAAGAAATGTAGTCATAAAAAAAGCCTGCACCTGAAAATATAATAGTTGCAGAAAAAAGAAAGAAGGGCAGACCACCCATTGAAAAACCAGAGGCCTGCTATCTTGTAGAATCAGAACTACTCCGGAGTGGAGAAATGGTTGGGTAGATTTGCTGGGTGTATCAACTAAAGTGTCCATGTGCGATGCATGCGGGCTCCACAACTCTAAAAAAAGAAAAAAAGAAAAAATCTTTAGGGAGCAACATAGCATCCAAAAACTTTTAAGACCAATAAAAAAATAAAAAAATTTATTCAAAATTTTACCATTTTATTTATTTATTTAATTTAAATTTTTCGATGGAATTTAAAACAATTAAATTAGAGTTTTTTATTAAAAAACACAAAGTGTGTGCCCTCAGTTGAGATACCCTAACGTGTTGTGATTGGGATGTATCACTGCATTTTGAGTATATTTTATACCAATCAATTCCTAAAAAGCTATCCCAAAGAATATTACTTGCAAATATCTCTTTGAGAAGAACGGAAAAAGAGTACACATCAGTTTTTTCATTTAGATCTGCACGAGTTTGGCCATTTAGTTCTGTTGCGATCCATCCTCTTTTACCTTTGCATTGGATTTGTTCTTTTGGGTCATTATTACGGCTGATACCAAAGTCCACAAACTTGATACGGTATTTGTTTTCTAAAATATTATATACCTAAATGTTAGTAGTAGAAATGTCAGCGTGAGTTACACCTATGGAATGCATGTATGCTAAGGCTTTAACGATTTTACGGAGCACGGAGAATAAAAAGTTTGGGTTGTTATTCAAGTAATTTTCTAAGGTCGTTCCATTGACCCATTCCATAATAATATAATAGAAAGAGTCTAGCTTGAGAATGGCGTAGATTTCGGGGACAGATTGATGTGGGTTTAATAGTTTAAGATTGGCGATTTCATTGTAAAACATGTCACTCTTGAAGTTCTTCAATTGATAACATTTACAGGCAACTTTCTTACCATTGTAATTACCGATGGAAACCTGAGAAAAAAAACCAGGGCCACACAATTCACTAGATACACTGATTTGGCTTGGGTCAATTATTTTTGGTTCTTTTTCTATTTGTTGTTTTTCATCTCTAGGAGTATTAACGATTGTGAAGTAATCATCTTGATTATTGGCAAATATGGCATTTTTATAAAGCTTGTCATGGCCAGAGATTATTTAGCATTAAAATATATCAAGTATTATTTAGCATAAAAAAAATCAAGTATTGTATAGCATTAAAAATCCTCAAGGATTTTTTAGCATTTAATTAAAATTCTAATTTTTAACTAAATGCTTAAAAATCTTTGATAAGTTTTAATGCTATATATACAATACTTGATTTTTTTTATGCTAAATAATACTTGATATGTTTTAATACTAAATATTCTTTCATGCTTAATGGATCCATATTAGATATTGTGAGTTCTCTTCCTATAATTTTTTTTTATTTTAATTGGGTAATAATAATTAATATATTATATATTTTATTTTTGTATTTTAAATTATTTACTTGTCCTTTTTTTTTTTTTTTATATATAAAAAGTTTTTATATGTTAAGAGTGTTTTATATTTATATATATTATGAATTTTAAAAAAATAAAAATTGAATTATTTAAATATATAAAATAAATATATAAAAAAAAAAAAAATATATGATATATATAATCAAATATATAATCACTCTTAACACGCACTATAATAATTTTTTGTGTGAAGTTTTTATTGTGTGAACTTGCGAGAAAAAAAAAAAAAAAAAAAAAAAAAAAAAAACCAAAAAATTTAAATTTTTTTTTAAAAATTATATGGGGAAAAAAAAAAAAAAAAAAAAAAAAAAAATTTTCAAATTTTAAAAATGTATAAGGGGGTGGGTCCAAAAAAGCCCATTTTTAAAAATTTAAAAAAAAATTTTTTTTTTTTTTTTTTTTGGAAATTTTTATATGGGAAATTTTAAAATTTTTTATTTACATTTCCCATATTAAAATTTTTTTTTTTTTTTTTTTTTTGTCAAAATTTTTAAATGGCATGTTTTGATCCCCCCCCCCAATAAAAATATAAATTTCCCATATAAAAATTTAAAAAAAAAAAAAAAAATTGAATGTTTTGAAATATCTGAACCAACCACAATAAAAAAAATCAATTAAAATTTTTATTTTTTTTTTTTTAAATTATATCTTTATAAATATAAATAAAATAACTCCAAAAAACTGTTAAGTTGATAATTTTTATTTTTCTTTTTTTTTTCTTAGACTTAAATACTTTTAGTTTAAAATTTATATTTTTATTTTTTAAATTTTATCACTATCAATCACTATTATCACTATCACTATTATTACTATTATCACTATTATTATTTTTATTATAATTATTATTATTAAAATTTTTTTTTTTTTTTGTTTTTTATTATTATTATTTGAAGCAACTAAATTATCAATGTCATCAAGAGATCTTTTTTTTGAATCTAAAGCATTTTCTTTTTCTTCTTCTTTTGTTTCATCTTTAATATTAAGAGTAAAAAAAATGGTCATCAAATGTACCTGATTTACAATGAAATTTTTTTAAATGTTGAATTGCATGATCCTTTGAGAATGTTGAGAAGTAACACTACTGGTGATTTTTTGAGCATAGAAAAATCATTGTTTGAGGAAGGATTTCTTTAAAATGTAAAGCTAGATGTCGTTTTAGATTAGATTTGTTTGATATGGAAACGGAGCAATCTGGGAATCTACAAGGGAGTAAATTTCTTTTTGTTTTTGGTGCTGATTCTGCTAAAATTTGAATTATATCATCTATAAACTCCTCACTTAATGGCCGAGGTCCAAGTTGTGTATTATTTGGTGATGTTTTTATATATGCTTTTGCAGATTTTACGGTTATAGCAGGAGATGGAGTATCTGGTGATATAAAATGGACAATCGAGATATAAATTCTATAAAAAACAGTGGTATTAAAAAGATGCCAATCAAATCTAAACCAGTATCACACCCATCACTTATAAAATCTCCACCACCTAATCTTACTTATCTTGTTATTTATAGATTGATGATTTGTTTGAAATGAAATAGAATTAATTTGTGTAATAAAAAGAAAGCTATTGTAATTAATATTATAATTATTATTATTGTTTGAAGAAGTTGTAGTTGAGGTTGTAGAGGTTTTTGTTGTTGGGAATTGATTGAACTTGAATCAGGACTTTATAAATTAGAACAGCTTCAAGAACAAAAAAGTTCATTGGGAGATAACCAAATTCAGGGTTTAGTTCGGCAGTTGGAAAATATTTTTGCAGACACTCTAAAGTAAATTTATAACGATATCTTTTATAATCTTCTATGGATTCATCTTCAGGTTTTAAATAGAGACAATTGCAGAATATTAGAAACAATTTGTAACTATCAACATAAAAACTCATATTATAGTATTAACCGAGTTTTCCTTTGGTTTTGTTATATAGATTCAGTATTAAGAAATAAAAAACTTATCTCGATATGCTACCGTTTTTAAAAAAGAGGGGGTACACTAAATGGTACAGTAATTTTAGGCATGAATCCCTCATAAAAACAAACTGATAATAATTATATAAAAAAAAATAAACAACGCTATAATAAATCAATATATTGTTATTTTTTTATGCAAATAAAAAAAATTTTGTATTTTTTTTTTGTGGTTATTTAAAATCTTTTAAAAAACAGTAAATCTTTTCTCACACCCAATAATTAAAAAAAATTTTAAACTTTTTTTTTATTAAATATTATGATTTTGCCCCTCAATTTTTTCTTTTTTTAATTTTTTTTTTTTTTTCATATCTGTTGTTGTGAGATAAATTCAAAAATTTTTAATTTACCTCAATAATTAATATGTTTACATAAAAAATTATTATACTGCCATAAACCACTAAATAATAAAAGAAAAAAAACAACAAAAAAAAAAAATATATATAATTAATTACAATAATTTATACAAATTATATAGTGTTTTTATATAAATTTAAATTCATCTTCATAATGATCAAAGTTGTTTCCACACTATTCAAGGCCAAAAAAATAATTAAAATTATAGTTGTTTGGAATCAATAAAAATTATGGGGTTATTGATATAATATTATACAATTTTCTGAATTTGTGTATTAAAAAATAGAGTGTGATGGGGGTAAATTTTTTATTTATTTGAATGCATAATGCAAATATTTATTTTTAGCCAATAGTGCAAAAAAATAGAGGGTATTTTAATAGATGTGTGGGTAGGAAATATAAAAATTACACAGTCACTCTGCAACACAGCCATAACCACTCTCACACACAGAAGCTGCATTTTTTTTTTTTGGATGAATATAAAAAGTAAAAAGAAAAAAAATATTATAATTTTTTTTTTTTATTATGATAATATAAACGATTTTATTTGATTTTAAGTGACTTAAAATCAATTATATCCATATTTGATAATTAAGAAAGGTTTTAGAAAGAATTTTGTTTTATTTTTTTTTTTTTTTTTTTTTTTTTTTTAAAAAGGTATAAATTTTTGATTAAATTTACTTATTTTTATTTTCATCAGTATTAATTTTTCAAATATATATACACAGTTTTGTAGTATGTTTTATATTTATTAACTATTAAAAAAATTTTAGATTTACTAATTAAAATATTTTTTTTATCTATTAATCTTTATTAGTAAAATGCATAACAATAATAATTCAAGTGACATTACTACAGTAAAAAGAAAAAGAGGAAGACCAAGAAAAGAGAAGCCTGAAGCTTGCTTCAGATGTAGATGTAGAACTACACCAGAGTGGAGAAAAGGCTGGGTAGATAGGGAAGGTGTTTCACTACATGTACCTCTTTGTAATGCTTGTGGTCTCCATAATGCTAAGCAAAGAAAAAGTTACCAGCTTTCAAAAGAACTAAATAGCATTTACAGACTATTAAATTAGTACGAAGATTGCTATTGATAAATAATTAAAAAAAAATATTATTTTTCATTTATTTAAATAAATTTAAAAAAAAATTTGCATAAAAATAACTACAATTTATATATAAATTTTTTTAGTATGTAATATATAATATTTGTTCAAGTACACTTCTTACTTTGTTTAATATTTGAAGATAAAAATGAGCATGTGGTTGGAGTGTAACAGCAAAAGACCATAATAAACTTTGGATAAAAGAATTGATAGATTTGTTGATGGTGCTGATAAAAACTAAGGTGTATTTTTTGGTTATTGTCATTGAAGTATTGTTGCTACAAATAAAAACTGTTTTTTTATAATTAATAATATTTCCGAAACACCAAAGCATAATGACAGTGTAAAAGAGCGAAATAAATTTAAATCAATAAATCAAGTAGATATTATTTTTTTTAATTTTATATTTAAATTATAAATTTATTTTTATTTATCACTTATTTGGATGAGTTTATTTATTTTTTTTACTCTGTAGATGTGATATATATTTTTAGAAACATTTATTTTATATATAAAAAATAGGTCAATTTATATATTTATACATACAATCTTCTTTTTTTATTTCATTTTGATTGGAATTGCTATCAGTGGGTGAGGATGATGGTACAGGTATTGATTGTTCTGGTGCACCAAATATCTATGATTGAAACTTTTTGTAGTTTTATTATTGTTAACACAGTTGTAAATGTCATTATCAGCTACATAAATGGTTTTGCTGGCTACATAGCCTACGTAAATTTCATAATTTGGTTTATCTGCACTGTATGTATTTTGGAAGATTTTCATTTCCATTATTCTTTTCCTTTTCTTTTCAATGATAGTGATTTTGATAAATAATTATCAATATTATTTTTAAAATCATCATCGAGTTGGGACTCTCAAGATAATATTTATTTGATTTATATTTTAATTTTAAAATAGTTTATTTTTCATTTTTAAATTATTATATTAAAGTAATAATATCAAATAAATTTTATATTTTATCTGATTGTTATAAATATTGAATATGATAAAATAAATTATTTTATTATAATAAAATGGGTTTGAAAATATCTTAATATTTAAAAAATTAAAAAAATTTTATTTTTTTTTAATTTGCCATTAAAAAAAAAAACGAAAAAAAAAAACTTCACAAATTTTTATAATTTTTCTTTTTAAAAAATAAAAAAAATCACCATTTTTCACAAAAAATAATGCCACACAATAATTTTTATAACACAGGAACACAAATAATTATATTTTAATAAAACAGATAATAATAATTACAATATCCTTGCAAATTTCAGTAAAGAATTTAAATTAACATTAGATAATGTAACTAAAATAAAAGATGTATTAACCTTTATCAAAAAAGAAAATGAAAATTCCTTGGTTACTTAAATAAATGTAAAGTTTTTAATGATTCAAACTTTTGAAGAGTTAAAGGTAAATATAAACATTATTTCTCATATAACAGAATGAGCTAAATTTTATAAAGGATATTCAGTATTGACTAACGATATAAAAATAGTTTATAGAAATAATTGAAAAGAGGTTACTTAATCACTGCTTCAAGAAACATTCAACTTTGAGCAAATAAGAACGAATATAAAATATTAAAATGGTTCGGAGAGGTATTGGAAATAATCATGCTATAGAGGAACACCACTCAAATCTAATATAAATACCCGAAAAATGTTAAAATAAAAAAGTAGTTACAATAGCAATAACAGAATCAATAAAATTGGACACAATAATATTTAGTAATAATAACAATAAAAATAAGATTAGACACATTATTAATAATTTTTTTAGAAGTAATAATAAAACAAGAAACGGCTATGATGGTTTTGTTGGCGATAGTAGCACAAATTTTTAGGTATCAAGAACTGAATACAATAGTGACTTCAATAATAATAATAGTATAAAATAAATACAGTTTTTAGAAGGCAAAATATTAAATACAAACAATAAAAATAGCAATTTATTAAATATTAACAGTAGTAGTAATTATAATGGACTCAAATTGGGTAATAATAAAACTCATATGGCAATTTAATGAATTCGCAAATTATCAAAATAATCTTAGAAATGGTATTCAAGATGAAAACATATGGAGTTTTTATAATAATAACAAAAATATGGGCGAAATAAAGCAGTATCTACCTTAGGTAATAATAATAAAATAAAAACAATAAAAATAATTTTAAATATATTCAAGTTTGTTTTTATTTATTTGTTTATTATTATTTCTTTTATTTTTTTGTCAAATATTAAAAGGAAAATTTATAATGAAGATGTAACGTTGTGTGTTTATTTTCATTAAATAATGACAATCAAAATTTTGAAATTTTTTTTTTTTTTTTTTTTTTTTAAATTTTTAAAATTTTTTTTATTATAATCACTCTCAAGATCTAAAGATACTCCTTTATTTTGTGAGATTTATGGAAATATTGTGCCTCTTTTTTTTTTAATAATTTATTATTATTTGTTAAACTATTTTTATATTATTATATTTTTTTTTTTATTTAATTTCTTTTCTTTGTTTCATTTCACAACAAATGTGTCATATTTTTTTGTATATGTGTGTTTTGTGAGTTTTTTATAATTTTAATCTAAATTTAAAAACTCTAAAAATAATTTTTATTATAAAAAAAAAAAAAACACACACGATCAAAGTAACCACAATGATTATTTTTTTTTAACTGACTAGCAAATTAAGTATTATAATTTGAATGGGGGTAGTGTTTAATAAAAATTCAACAGTTGCAAATATATATTTATATTTGTTTGTATGATCAAATAAAATGTGTTAATATTTTTTTTTTTTTTTTTATTACTATTTTTTTTCTTTTTACCCCCACTTAATGTCTTCAATATATTATAATGACTTCTTTTACTTATAAAAAAACTTAAAAAAATAATAATAATAATAAAAAATAATAATTAAAATAATAATTAAAATAAATATAAAAACAAATTTAATATTAATAACAATAACAACAAAGCACCACTACCACTATCACAACCACATTCTATTTTTATTTTATGTATAAATAATTATTATATTTGTGAATATTCACATTACTTCTCTCTATTTTTAATAAAATTCGATATACATTGTTTATTAATAAAAAAAAAAAATAAAAAAATGAAGCTCATCAAAATTTTTTTTATTTTTTTTATTTTTTTATATTCAATAATAACAAAATATAAATTACATTACAACAAAAATGAATAATTATAATAACCAAAATAACTATAGTATAAATAATTTTAATAATTTTAATAACTATAATAACCAAAATGGTTTTAATAACTTTACAAACTATAATGATCCAAATACCAATATCATTACCAATGTTAACAACAATACTACAAATACAACAACAACAACAAAAACAACAAAAACCAATACTGTTAACACCAATAATGATTTTAACAACAATAATAGCTTTAATAGTTTTAATAATTACAATAACATGAGCAACTTTAATTACAATATTAATAATAACAACAATAGTAATAGTAACTACTTCAATAATAATATTAATAGTAATAACTATGTTCATAACAATATGAATAGTAACCAAATGATTACTAACAATAATATTGGCTTTGAAAACCAAAACATTAATAATGTTAACACAAATCAAAATATTAATGTAAACAATTCAAAAAAAGGTATATATTTTAAAAAAACTATTAAAATTTTTTAAAATACTAACAATTATCATTATTATTATTATTATTATTATTATTATTATTATTATTATTTTAGATGCAACATGTTTTTCCACTGAACAATTAGAATTTCATTCAACAATAATGTTATCACATTTAAAAAATCAAAATAAGTTTAGATCAAGAGAATTTTTAACTAGATCAAATGATTCCACTCCAATTCTCTATAAAAACATTTAATCATATATATATTAGAAATATATAATATATAATATAATATATAATATATAATATAATATATAATATATAATATAATATAAAATATATATAAATTTAAAAAAAAATATTTAAAAAAAAAAAAAAAAAAAAGAAATTTTTTATATTTTATTTTTTTTATTATTTAATATTAAATTTCAGGTTATTTTTGTGTAAATTCTCTCAACCACCATAGAAAAGTAAATAAAGCAATATCTAGAGAAGCAGCGGTCATTGTGTCTGTTTATTGTATTCTCCCTTTAATAATTATTAAATGGCACTTTTTTCTATATAAATAAAAATTATTTTAAAAAAAAAAATTATTATTGTTAAAAATATTCTCCAATATTTTATATAACTACTATTGTATTTATGTATACTATATCTCATTTTTTACTATATTGTTATTAAAATATAAATAAACTTTCGATTTTGTAAAAAAATTTTTATTTTTTTTTTTTTCATACAATTTTTATATCCGTTCATACAAATTTAATTTAATCTTGTTTAAAATTATTACCTAATTTGAAAGGACCTGATTTTTTAAGTTATATAATTATAGTTATATTTAATTTTTATTTATAATTTTATTTTTATTTTTACTTTTATTTTTATTTTTATTTTTATTTTTATTTTTATTTTTATTTTTATTTTAATTTTAATTTTAATTTTATTTTTATTATTTATTTTAATTAACAAAAAACTTAATAATCAATTAAGTTATTATTACACCTTCAAAAAAAAAAACAACTTAAAATTTTTTCCATATTATTATACAAAAAATTATTTTTGTAAAAAAAATTGTAACTAAATATTATTATATATCATATTATAATATATGAAAAATATCTTTAATATCTGTTGAATTGAATACAATGTTAAGCTTTTTTATATTTATAATAGATTTTAAATTGAATGGATGCATCACGAAAAAAAGGTTCATCACTTAAAGAAATTGACTCAACACAAATCAAAGCTACATCACTTAAAGAAATAGATGCATTGTATACCATATTCAATAAAATTGAGCCACTATCTTGTGAGTGTTCCCCAAAAAGAATTTACTTTGGTGTTTCATCACATGCTCCAATTAATTTCAATCTTTCTATGGGTCAGATAGCTCACCATCAAAATTATTAAAGAAAAATACTAGTGGTATCTACCCCTTTTAGTCAACAACAATAAATACCACAGCACCAACACCAATATCAATTCCACTATCATCCACATAAAAAAAATTTGACACACCCCTATCTTGTATACTTTCGCTGACACTAAGATTGGCTTGATATCCCAAAGAACCTCAATGTTTTAACTAGGTGTCATATGATAATCTTTTAAACATTTTATAAACAGAAAGGTTATAAAAAACTTTTTTATTAATAATATTTTTTTATTTTTTTATTTTTTTATTTTTTTATTTTTAAAATAATTTATGATAAATTTTTATATTTTCCCCTTTTTATTGTTCTTATTAGCCTTTTGAAGAAAAAAAGTTTGTGAATAAAAAAAAAATTTAAAAATTTTTTTAAATTTTTATTTTACATAAAAATTAATGTTGATTATTTAAATTACGATTTTATATTTATTACTATCTCCTTTTTAAAATGCACTAAGATTTTTTAAATCTTTGAAACTTCTTTTCCCTTTTTTTATAATTTCTTTTTTTTATTTATTTATGAATAGCAATTTGTCTTTTGCAAAACCAAGTAATAAAAATAAAATAATAAGGTATTAATTAAAAAAGAATTTATTGTATTATTAAAAATTTGTGAAAATTTATATTTTTAGTTTCTATTTATGAGGATGTTTTTTTTATATTTCTAATTGTTGTCTGGGGGTTACACCCAAAGTATTTTCAATATCTAATTTGATATTTTCACAAAGTAAAAGGAAAGCAACAACGTAATTATGTCCACATGTAATGGCCTTAAAGATTGGTGATTCTTTATTTCTGTCTAGAGCATTAATATCGGCACGAGCTTTAACGAGTCTAACTACCATAGGGAGATTACCAAGAGCAGCGGCCCAATGAAGTGGGGTCATTCCACTATAGTCCATTGAGTTGATATTTTCAGGGCCTTCAAAAGAGAAAAATTCGGTAAAAACTTTAACTATTTCACGATTATTATCTTGTGTAGCATAATGAAGAGCAGAGAGACAAAAATTATCCTTTAAATCAAACAATGAAAAATGATCTTCCATTAGTTCTTCAACCAAATTTATATGTCCTCTTTCAACGGCGATATGAAGACCAGTAGCACCAAAATTATCACGATCGAAAACATTAGCACCAGCTTCGAAGACCATATTGACAACTAAAGATGAGCCAGAATAACATGCCATGTGGAAAATACTTTGGCCACTGTTGTTTTTAATTGAAAGATCGCATTTTGTATCTAATAAAAACTCGATAAATTTTTCTTTCTTCTCTTTTACAGACACCATAACCAATGAATTGCCTTGAAAATCACGAAGAGAATCTATTAAATTATTTTCTAATTTAAGAATTGATTGGAATATTTCAAATTCATTATGAATTATACAACTGAAAAAAATAAGGGAGAAAAAGTCAGGTTCATTGTTTTCTTTAAGAAATCTTTGAAGTTTTAAAGCATAATCTGAAAATTATTAATTTTGTATTAATATTAAAACATATAATTATAATTGAATGTAAAAAAGTTAAACTTACTTTTATAAGAAAAGTTATATGGTATACCAACTTTTAATATATCATTATGACAACGAGTTGAAAAGTAAAAAAATTCATTAATTTCTGAAGGAGCAAGGAATGATATCTTGAATGATGATGGAGATGGTTTTTCAAGCGAGCTGTATGGAATAATATTTGGTGCTTCATTTTGCTTTTTTAATCGATCACTTGGTTTATACTCTACATTGAATGCTTCATTACTTGTGAAGTGACCATAGGCGGTAATTTTTCCTTCTTGTGGGAAACAGAGGCCATTACGAGATAAACGGACAATATCCATACCGGGCAAAAGACTTGTGTGTTTGAATACCCGAATAGATTCCGAATAGCATGTATCAATTATAGATAGTCCTTTCCCATAAACACTGAATTGTATACTAAATGGGGTAAGATCGTCTTCATTCTCTCTTTTGAAACACATATTGCCAAATTGGAACCTGATAAGACCATCACTTTCTTCAACCTTTACATCATTAGAGTTTGAAATAGTATTTGATTCAACTGAGGCTGTTACCACTAGGTCATTTGCTTCGCCCGTATAACCTCTAACTATAATTTCTGGGGGTGGTACTAAAACATTGCCATAAACTGTATAAGTTGGACAAACACAACCAATTTTAATAATAACATTTCTTTTGGATTTTTTATTATTATTATTAAAATTATTTTTATTATAATAATAATTATCATTATCATTATTATTATTATTATTATTATTATTATTAATGTTATTATTATTATCGTTTTGATTTAGTGGTTGAGATATTAACCTTTGAATATTTTTATTCATATTATTAATAATTTTATTATTTATATTATTAATATTATTATTATTAATATTATTATTATTAAATTCCATTTATTTATACGTAAATTAGTAATCAATGAAATAAAGTATTGGGACAATATTAATAAATGATTAAAATAAAAAAATTAATATGAAGAAAATAAATAAATAAATAAAAAAATAAATAAATAAAAATAAAATTATATTTAAATAAAAAAACTTTAATAAACACCCATTATTTATTCCAATACAACTTATTAACCCCCAAAAAAACTAAAAATAATTTGAATACCCCCTATTTCAAAAAATAAATATACTAATATAATAGTAACTTTATGTGTTTAAAGTGTGTGATGAAACAATTTGGACGTCGCGATACTTCATATTCATTATTAATTTTGAACATTATCAGTTTTTTACTATTTTTTATTATTGTATTTTTGAATTTTTTTTTTCAAGTTCAACAAAAAAATTTATTTTTGTTATTGTTGGAAGTGTCAGTTACTAAAAAAGGATGAATTTTTTGAATTTCTGAGTATGTTATTACAAATATCATTATACCCCTTTCATCGTTTGAGTATTTTGTATTTTTATTCAATTATTTCAGATTATTGGTACAATGATGATTATAACAATTATAATAATAATTATATTATTATTATTATAATATTGTTATTTTAAACAAGATGTGAACCGATTTGGGTCGGCTAAAAAAAAAAAAAACTCAAAAAAAAAATTCAAAAAAATAAATTTTTTTTTTTTTAAATTTTTATATTAATTTTTTTTTATTTTCAATATATAAATAATAAAATAATAAAATAATAAAATAATAATAGTAAATTAATAAAAAAATCATTAATAACAATAATTGAATAAACAAATTGTAAGCAATACCAATTATTTAATTTTTTTTTTTTAATATTTACAAAATAGGTTACAAGTAAAAAAAAAATTAAACAGTATCGAGAATTTAATCAATTAGGGGCTATCCATTTTAAAGAGATCATACCAGGTGTAGAATATAGGAACTTTGTCAATTTAAATGTTCCAAAGTTTACCATCCATATATTTTTAAATTAATTAGTCTTTTGATTAAAAAAAAAAAATAAAAAAAAAATAAATAAATAAATAAATAATATTTAGATTTTAAAAAATATTTTACGCTTTTTTATATTCATACACATACACATTCATACATTTAATTTTTTTAAAGATTTACAATTTTAATTTTTTTTTTTTTATTTTAACTTTTAAATTAAAATGATCAAAAATAAATTGGTATTATTTTCGGCATAAGAGTTGAAAGAAATCAAATCCTTGGATATATTTTTCATAATAACTATCATCAAAGACATGATATTTTCTACTTTGGTCCATCGAGTTTGGAGTGAAAGCCATAATTATTGGTGTTGGTAATTTGGTCAAATGAGAAATACTCATTCGATATCGGTCTTCAATTTGCTCTTCATCTAATTGATCTGGAATAATTGTAGGGTTTGTTTGAAAATACTGGGAATGCTGATTTAAACATTCAAGTTCCTTCAAAAATACCTTTTGTTTTTTGTGTGGGGAATCATTAACACCCAATAAGGTATCTTCTGTCTATATAATGAAAAAAATTCAGTATTTATAAAATATTATTATTCAAATATAATTAAAAAACTTACATCCAAAACCCTCTTTTTAGTTTTATAACCATTAGCCTGTGTATTTTTTAATAAATAAAAAGCATTAATAAATGATAAAAATAACATTTTAACTTTAATTGAATGAATAAATACCATAACTAAACTTGATGACATTATAAATTTTATTTCTAAAAAAAAATAATTAAATAATAATAAATATTTACTATTATGATGTTTAAATGATTGTATCAAAGAAAAGTATTGAATTTGAAAATTAATATAAATAAATAAAAAAATATAATTTGTAATTGAAATTTATTAATTGTTAAAAATAAATTAATAAAAATTTTTTACCCTTTAAAAAACCACAATAATTATAAAATGATTATAAATTAAACTGGGACATTAATATGAGTGTGAAATGGGGTCAGTAATTTAAAAAGAAAACAATCACAATTAAAAAAAAAAAGGGGACAATAAATAAATAAAAAAATTTTAAATTAAAAAAGGTATATAATGTTTTATTATTGTGTTTATTGTAGTGAAAAAATATAGAAACAAAAGAGTGGTGGTAAAACCCCCCAAATATAAATATAAAATAAAAGATTAAAAAACTACAAATTTATTTAATTTTAATATTTAAAATAAAAATTATAATTTGATTTGAAGCTGCTTCATTTTTTGATTTAATTCTGATAAATTCATCAATAGAGGAATTGGATGCAAATTTACATTTGATTTCTTACTCTTTCTCTACGCAAGTACAGAAAACTGAATTAGATCATGAGGAGTAACTTTTTTTGTAAATTTCTATCTTACAGGAAGGTTTTTAACTGGGGAACATTCACTATCACAATCCAACAAAATAGTCACCCGGGCCTGACTAGTGGTTATTTGATTTATGGTAGCTGATATTGATGGTATTGTTGAATGAGATGGGGAAATACCAAGGAGCGAATGATGTTAGAGCTATAAAGGTTTTGAAGCTGCCATTGGTGCTGGTGATATCATTGGGGTATATGTTGCTGATGCTACCTTTGGTGCTGATGATTACCATTGATGTTGCAACTGCGTTACTCCTTGAATAGGTTTGTGATTATAATTGTAATTATTATTATTATTATTATTATTATCACTTTTAACTAATGGGGTTTCAACGTTTGGAATCCATTCTGATGTTATGAAGCAAGCACTCAAAATTTGAATAGCGATTATCTTTGCTTATGTTTTCATAGTAGTTGGTTTGGAATTTAATAATTTGATGTATATATCCTGAGAAACTGCATTCCAAAATTATAATTTAAAAAAAATAAAAAAAAAAATTAGAATTGAAAACAAATTTATTTGAGGTATTTATTACTTACAGATTTTTTCTTCACTTGTTTCATCTAAATAAAAGTTGTTTATTTTTTTTTTTATTTAGTTTAATTTAATATTTTGATTTATAAAAAAAATTATTTAAATATATAATTGGTGAATAAAAAAAACTTAATACATATTATTAATATTTTGTTTCTCTAAAATATTATTCGCATTGCACAAAGCCATTATTTTGTTTTTAATTTAAAAAACAAAAAAAAAATTGAAAAGAAATGAGAAAATTTTTTTAATTTTTTCGAAAAAATAAGTTTTTATTATTTTTATTAATTGTAAAAAAAATTAATGTTTTTGTGGGTGGCAGATTTACATAACTGTTGAAATTGTAAAAAGTTGTTTTTATTTATGAAATTTGTAAAAAAAAAAAAGGGGAAAGAAAAAGGTAACTGATTAAAAAAAAAACGGTTTTGCTTTTAACATAATGTTTCACCCTCTTTTTTTTTCTTTAATTAAAATAATATATTGCAAAAAGTTATTTTTAGGTTTTGGGGTTTGGGTGTTGACAAAAAAAACCAACCTCCAATATCACAACCACAAAAAAAAAAAAATTAAAAAAATTAAAAATTTGTTTTAATTTTTTTAAGTCTTTGGTTTTTGTATTTAAAATAATATTTTATTATCAACATCATTATTTTCTTCATCCACATTATAATTTATTTTATTACAAATAATTATAATAATATATTATACATATAAATATATAATTCATCATATACTCTTTTATTTATTAATTAATTAATTAATTTTATTCATATATTTGCTTCCAAAAATGAATGATAGTTTGTCCTCTTTGCCAATGGATTTAAAAATATTAAATTCATTATTAAATGAAGTTTTTTCAAATCCAAGAACAACTGATCCAACAAAAGAAGTTTTGGAGTATTCCTTGGTTTCAAAATCATGGTATAACTATACCATTAATTATTTAAAAAACAGGGAAATTAATAATTTTTCAAATTCAACATAGATCCTCTAAAGTGCCATTTCAAATGTACAAACCTCAAGATCTTAATCAAATAGTTGTATTACAATAAAAAAAAAAAAAAAAAAATTTAAATACCCTATTTATATGCATAGCTGTTAAATTTATTTATATTCATTACTATTTGTTGTTATTTTTTTGTTGCAATTATTATGCCTCATGACTGAAAATTTTTTTTTTTTTTTACATATAAATTTTTTGGTAATTTGGTTGTTTTTGGGTTGTTTTTGGGTTTTTTTTAATTTTTTTTTTATATGTAATAATTTTTTTTTTTAACTATTTAATTAATAATTCATTGTCCTCGATGTTATTATTTCTAATTTCTGGAATAACAAATAATTAAAAATGCACCTATACACTATATCATAATATTTTGATAATATTTCAAAATAAAAAGTTCCTTAATGTTTAGAATTGCTTTTCATTATCAATTGGTATACTAATTTGTTTTTCTGAGCCATCTACGACCACTGTGGTTGCACTCATATGATTTTAATGGTACATGAATTCTATTTTATTGCTATTATCAAGTCTATTATTAAAATAACTTTTAAAAATATCTTTTGCCAAAGGTGAAACAATGTCTTAAAATTCTTTGAGTATCTACAGTTTTTTTTATAATTATAATTATATAATGTTCATTGTAACCTATTTAATTATTTCCAATCACTAAACTACAACTTTACATACCACTGATTCATATTATCTATATGAAAATTCCTTATTAATTTAACAGTTTTATTAAATTATTAAGAAAAATAAAATATTTTTAAATTATCAAAAACAACTATAGGATCTATTTTGTGATATAGATTTAAACGCTATCAAATAATTTTTTTCTCTTTTCCTTTTAATTTGCCCAGTATGATTGTTTACTTTATATTTTAAGTATTGCTTGTCATTGAAAATCTTTTAATTCAAGCAAATACTTTTCTGGAAATTATCCTGATTGATTTTTGAATTATATCTTGTTGTTTTTTATTTTGATGTTTTTTTAATGGTGGTTTATGGTTTGAAATAACAAATTAGCATACCAATTAATAAAGATATTAGAAATTTATTTTATTGTTGCAAATAAAGTAAATCAGCTTTAACCTTATTGGTTTATCTATAAAAATCCAAATTTTTAAAAATCAAATTCCAAAATTTCATTTTTTCTCGTGTATTATAATTTATTTTTGTAAATATATTATTTTTTATTTTTATTTAATGATTTGTATTGTTTTGTAGAGAATTATTTTTTGTGTTTATATGTGTTTAAATTATTTAATTATTAGAATAAAAAAAAATAAAAAAAAATTCTTATTTTTTGGTCATTTCGGGGAAAAATTGAAACTGAAGAACTCTCTTTGGTTGATAGTGATACCTATGCAAGACTTGAAAATAAATATTATGGAATATCATTAGAAGAGGTAATTAGTTTGTTTTTCAATAAAAAATTTGTAAATAGTTTTTTGGAGCTAACAAATCTCAATTTAAGTAAAATCAACTCAGAAAAAGAAGAGATTTATAAAAGAGAATTTGAAGGAGGTTCCAAAAAGTATAAATTTAAGCCTATTTCAAGGATTACCAAAGAAGAGCTTTTTGAATATTGGTCTATTACCTTAATGTTAGATTTGGGTATTTTTAAAACAATTATGGAAATTAAAAACCATAGTAATACAAAAAGGAAAAGAAACAGATTTTTTTTGGTTCAATCAACAACCAAATTTACAGACGATCAAATTAAAAGAATTGCAGGTGAAATGAGTGATATTAGTTTGATTTGGTTGAAGGAATTAAAGTTTGCACCCTTGACAAAACTATATATAAATATATCCTAAATTCAGATTCAAAAGAGAAATATATTCAAGATAATAATAACTAATATCACTCATTGAATGGATTGCAATTGAACTTGATGGTTATTATAAAGTCTGTAAAATTGATGAAAGAGACGAAAAAGTTCCTACATTTAAATCAATTGCAACAACTGGTTTTAAAATTCAAAATCTTGAAGTTAATCCAAGTAAAGGTTATAATATTAGTGATGCAGTGGATCTTTATAAACTAAATGATTCAGCTTTAAAGAAATTATGTTTAGGTTTAGGAGTTTCAAGATCAAGTAGTAACAGGAGAATGGTTATATCAATTTGTGGTATAGATCCATTATCTCATTCAACCAACCCCAATCGTACTCATTATTATCAGAAGCAATTCAAAAAGATACTTTAAAATCATGTTCATTGGTTAAACTCAAAAACTTGAATCAAGATTTTAATTTACCAGCTCCTGCCCAGTTAACATGTGAAGGTTACATTTTAGCTCTTACCAGACTTTATGAAAATGAAAACTTTGAATTAGATTCACTTTTAATAGACCTTTCCCAATCTCTAAGAACGTCTCCTCCATTAGTATCAGATTTTTATAAAAAATCGCTCGATGTAATAGATATTCACTACAGATATCTATATTCAGGTGGTATTCATGGATATGTTAAAAATTGGAGGATATTTGCTGTTTCATGTTTAATCAAGTCTTATATCATCAATATCTATTCATTTTATATGTCAACTACATCAAAACACATGAAGTTTGAAGAATTTAAACAAATTTTCATACACAGCATCAGAGAAGTTAATTTAGTCCCAAAAAGTCCATCCTCAAATCAAAATCAAAATCAAAATTAATTTTTTTATTTATCCAGAAGTCCTGTATTTTAACTATTCACCATCTTTTTAAAGCTCAATCATATATATATAAATACTTTCTACATTCTCATATTTATATAATTGATAAAATATAAATTATATATATAGTTGATAAAATATATAAATAAAGATATTACAAACAAAACATTGTCTTTTCTTATTTATTTTTTTTTTTTTTTTTCATTTTTCATTTTTTTTTTTTTTTAACTTTTATATATTTTTTTTTTTTTAATTTATAATTCATGTTCATCTTTATATAATAAATAGTTATAAATTAAATCATATTTCTCATGTATACTAAAAATAATAAATGAAATATTTACAAGCAATAAAAGATTTGATTATAATTTTTTCTATTTTTTTAATTTTATTTTTTTTAAATTGATCAAAAAAAATACACCTGATACACAAATTAACACAACATATAAATTATGAAACAAAAATAAAAAATAATATATTTACAAATATAAAATGTTATACATATGAAAAAAAGCGAAAAAATGAATTTTGGAATTTGGTTTTTAAAAATTTGGATTTTTATAGTTTATTGTTGTCCAAAAAGGGGGAAAGGTATTGCAGATTGGCTTTCCTTCAGGTGTTTGTAAAATGATATCGTGTTAATGAAGTAGGTGGTAAAAATAAGATATTAAACAACAAAATAAAATTCAAAATGTATTTTCTAAAATTAAAAGATTTTCGACAAGCAATATTTTAAGATATAAATTTAAACAGGAAATTCCTTAGATAATGTTTTAAAAAGATATCACACAATATAATGTAAAGTTGTATTTTTTGTTAATTGTTATTTAGGGATTAGAAATAATAACATTGATGTTACAATGAATAATAATATTAAAAATTAAAAAAAAACCCAAAATAACCAATTTATACAAAAATCATCAAAAAATAATATGGGAAAAAAAAAAAAAAAAAGTTTTTTACAGTTTATTTTTTTTTTTTTAGTTTTTTTTTTTTTTTTTTATTTTGGAGCAATTAATAATTTGGAAATTTTATGATGATCATAAAAAAAAAATATGACAATAATTTTTCTAACATAATATTATCTTTGCAAATTTCAGTAAAGATTTTAAATTAACATTAGACAATGTAACTAAAATAAAAGATGTAATAACCTTTATCCAAAAAAGAAAATGAAACTTCCTTGGTTACTTAAAATTAACTTAGAATCTATATATACCTTTAGCTCTTCAAAAATTTGAATTATTAAAAACTAAAGTTTATTTCTTAAAAAACAAAATGAGCTAAATTTTATAAAAGATATTCAGTATTAACTAACGATATAAAAATAGTTTATAGAAATAATTAAAAAGAGGTTACTTATCACTGCTTCAAGAAACAAATAAGAACGAATATAAAATATTAAAATGGTTTGAAGAGGTATTGGAAATAATCATTCAAGAATATGAATATAATCATACTATAGAGGAACACCACTCAAATCTAATAAAAATACCTGAAAAATGTTAAAATTAAAAGTAGTTGCAACAAAAAAAATAATAACAATAAAATTAGACACAATATAATTTTAGTAGTAATTATTATAATAATTTCAAATTAATTCTCTCTATAATAAAATTTTTTAATCACAGAAATAGACGATAATAATAATAAAACAAGAAACAGCTATAATGATTTTTTTAGCGATAGTGGCACAAATTATTAGGGTAAACAAGGCATTTGACAAACTAATAAAATAATAATAATAACAATAATAACAATAAACACATTTACATATATTAATAACAAATAAATAAAATAATTAAAATAAAGGTTTCATAAAAAATAGTTGTAAAGTGGTTTAAGTTTATTTAAAGTTTAAAATAATTTCACTATATACTTCAAAGTGATATGTGTTATTACTACCATCTTTAATATTAATTAAAATATTATTAAATGATGGTTTATAATATGATTGTGTATATTAAGAAATGAATTGATTATTATTCATATGTTGGTACATTTGATTTATAAGTATTCATTTAGAAATACACAAATCATATTATTTCAAATTCTTTAAGTGAATTTGTTGATATTTTGCTGCTCCAATGTAGATGTTGTAGAGGTAGTAGTGGTAGTTGTTGTTGTTGTTGTTGTTGTTGTTGTTGTTTTACGGTTGTGGCCATTACGATTGCTTTTTTTTACAATGTGGCCATTTTTTAAAGTATGTTTTTGTTTTGGTCTTACGAGTAAATATTCCATATAGCCGAAATATTTTTTGTTTAAATTATTATAATTCACATAAAGAGGGGCAGTTGGATCATTTACAATATGTGAAATCTTTAATTTGTGTCCAAGATTCTGAGATGGGTTTTCTAATGTGTATTTGATAACATTAGGTGCTGGTTGGTTATCATTAATTTCTATTAAAACTTGCATTTCTTTGTAACAATTTGGATTTGTGTTAATAAGTATTATTTTTTATAAAATTCTATTATTATATAAAAAATTAAATAAAAATGAAATTAAAAAAAAAAATTATAATTTTTTTTTATTTTTTTTTTTGAATATAGATTAATATATTATTATAATTATAATGAAAAAAAATTGGAATGCTGTATTTTTATGTGGGTGTATGATTGTGTTATATTAAAAAAAAAAAAAAAAAAAAATTTTAAAAAAACTTGATTGGATGATAAAAAAAAATTTTGAGAGGTATTATTAGATTTAATAAAAAATTTTCACGTGCAGGAAAATAAAAAAATTAACACTATTAATGAATCACATCCATTGAGATTTAAAAATAAATAAATTATTAATTATTTTTAATTTTTTAAATCCCAATTTCAAATAAATAAAAAAGACCCCACTCACAAACACAAACAAATATACACAAACACTCTTTTAACCCCACATGTGCTCTCACACTCACAGTAAAATTAAACCAAATACATAGTAATTTTATATCATGTAAAATTATAAACAGTTACAATAACCATCTAATATTTTGAACAACAATTTATATTATAATTTTTAATATGCATTTGTAGTTGTCTCATATATATTTTTCTATTTAATATTAAAAATTATAATAAATAAAATAAATAATAAAAATATATGATATATCATTTTTAGTGTAATATATAAAATCATTTTTCTTCTATCTTTTTTTTTTAAAAAAGGTTAAAAACTAAATTAAGTTTTTTTTAAAAAAAAAAAAAAACTTATTAATTTTTTTTAACCAGGATCTGAGTTGATTTCTTTTGGTTTTCTTAATATATATATGAATTTTTTTTTAATTAAAGTTGTCATTAAGCATGAGGATTGAATGAAATGGTCAAGTCCAGATAAAAAAGCTGATAACGTTAACCTTTCGAAAATTATAATTTAACCAAAAAATGATTAAAAAAATTAAAAAAAGGTCCATGGGTCCAAAGAAATGAATATATATCTATTATACTAATCAATCCTGTTTCTATTCTTTATTTTGATTTTTAGATCATTGAATTGGTTGAATCTTATTTCTTTAGATGTAATAAACTGATATATACAAATAAAATAACTGCATCCACAAAAAAGCAAAAACAAACACATAAAAACTAATGTAACAATTGAATTATAAAATAAATAAATATAGTTCCTACTTTTTACAAAATCATTTTCTTTGAAAAGGTTTATTTATTTATTTTTAGGTTGCAATTTAAGCATTTGTTCAATGAAAAAATATTTCTATGGGTTATAAAAATGAACCCTCTAGTTTCAAAGGAAAATATGTTGCCATAGTATATGCCATCAAATATGAAACTACTTAAAATGCATTAAGATAAACTTAATCCATAAATTGTAACATATGCTCCCAACATGGAAACCAAAGCTACCAAGGAAAACTTTCATAAAATTCTCTTACATTTTTAAAATAGAAGGAAATTCATTTTGAAGTAATTTGAGTTGATTGATAATATGTAAATATAATTGACCCACTGGTAAAGACCTCTCTTCATCTTTGGTGTTTCTTTTTAATAATTCATCTATACGATCTTGGTTTTTTTGAAATTCATTTAAAAATTCATAATGAACCTCATCTTTTGATTCAAATTTGTCGAGTTTGCGTTTCTTTGATTCAACTTCGGAAGGTGCACTTGGTATTGGTGATACTGTATTACTATGTTGGGGCTTTTCTTTGTCGTCTTCGTTAATGAAAGTTTGGTATTTTTGTTTTGAAATATTTTGGGGCTAGTATAAATATATTTGGCGTTAGTAAGTCAATTTTGACTAAAAACTATAATAAAAGAAATATAACAACTTACATCATCATTATCAATTTTGAATCTTTTATAATCATTAATGGTTGTAGTGATTGTAGTGGTTGTAGTGGTTGTAGTGGTAGTGGTTGTAGTGGTCGTGTTTCTTGAATTATTGTTTATAATATTGTTATTTCTATTATTATTTATATAATATCCATTATTATTAATATTATTATAATTATTGCAGTTGAAGTAAATAGATTCAAGATTTCTATTTGTTTGATTGTTTATTCTATTTAGAGAATTCGTTATTTGAATAAGGACATCTCCCATATCATTAGAGTCCCAATAACCTCTTTGCCCATATTGTTCTAGAATTTTTTCTTTTAAGTTTAGTATATATTTTTTTTCGTCGTTTAAATATTGAAGATTTTGAGTTTGGTTATTAATATTTGTATCATCATTTTCTTTATCTTCATCTTGAGAATGATTCATATCACAATTATAATTATTATTATTATTATTATTATTATTATTATTATTATTATACTTTGAATTTTCATAAAATATTTTATATAAAGATTCAAGATCATCATTATTAGTGCTCATTTTCTTTAACGAATCCAATAATTGAATAAAGGCATCTCTTAAACCATTAGATCCCAAATGAACTCTATCCTCATCTTGAGAATGATTTATATCATTATTATTATTATTATTATTATTATTATTATTATTATTATTATTATTATTATTATATTTATGAAAATTTTCGTAAATGATTTTATATAAAGATTCAAGTTCTCTATTTTGAGAGTCCATTATCTTTACTGAATCCAATAATTGAATAAAGTTATCTCTTTCTCTTAAATTATTAGATCCCAAATCACCTCTATCTTCATCTTGAGAATGATTGATGCCACTATTATTATCCATAAATGAAATTTTTTATTTTTAATTATTTATAAAACTAATTTTTAAACTATTTGTGTGTTTTGAAAAAAAATAAAAAAAAAGAAAGAAAGAAAAAATTAAAAAATTAAAAAAATAAAAAAAATAAAGTTTTTATTTTTCCCAATAACAAAACCCATTTTAAAAAAAAACTAAAGATTGAAAAAATATCAATCAAAAAGAATTTTCTTTTTCCAAATAAAAAAAAAAAAAAAATCTGTTCGTTTTTTATTGGTTTTTTTTTATTTCCCACAATTTTATTTCATTTGATACATTTACACACTAATTCCAAAAAAAACGCTATATAATATAAAAATAATGTTCATTAAAATATCTTACCTTTGTAATTAAAATAGATTCACAATGGGTTTTGGTTATGTGAATTTTAAAAAAATGAAAAAAAAAAAAAAAAATTTTACTGCATAATCGAAAAAAAAAAATATTAAAAAAATCAAGGGTTGTCTGTAAGGAATTTATCTGGACGTTTTGTTAAAAAAAAAAAATTTAATTCAAAAATAAAGTTTTTTTTTTTTTTTTTAAAATTAATTCAAAAAATTTTTTTTTTTTAATTAAAAAATAATTTAATTAAATTATATATAATTTATTTCTTTTACAGATATAATTGTTTCGCATTTGATAACAAGTGAAAAGACCATCTTCGCGTGGGTACCCTTTTCATTTGACTAGATCGGAGGCTCGCCTACTAGCTAGGATAAGGATCTTTCGGCATCATTCATTATATTTCTAGCACTTTCTGATGCGTTTCAATTATGTCAAAAAGAAAACAAACAATTTTTTAATTCCAAAAAAAAAAAATTTATATGGGAAATGTTGATTTTTTGTATTAATTTTCCATATTAATTGATGATACCAGATAATAAATTTTTAAAAACTGATTTTAATAAAAAGTGATGTATAATTTGGTTTAAAAGACGAATTTTTTTTTGAACTTATGATATCAATATCATAAATTAACACGTCAAACATTTACTAATAAATAGAACAACAAGTACCAGGCTATCTCACAAATTAAGGAATCAAGTTAATTTGAATATCAGCAACCTACAAGTAAAACTATAAAATGATTAACTAAGCGATAATATATTTTAAAATTTACAATTGTATTATATAAAATATATTTTTAACAATTGTAAATAAATAATAGATTAAATAATTTAACAAAACATAAAAAACTTTATTTTTTATAATTTTTTTCCTTTAAAGACTGTCATAAAAATTTTCATTATCATATGATTCGTCTGGGTATTCGAATTCAACATCTTTATCACGTCCATTTAAAAAACCGGTTGTGTCTTTGCTTTTGAAAATTGTATCAAAAAATTCATCATCCCTATAAAAAAAAAAAAAAATTAGTTATTTTAATAATTATTTTTAAATCTAAAAAATAATTTACTTACAAAACTGGGTCTTCTTCTTTATTTATTAAAATATTCAATATTTCTTGATACTTTTTACTATTTGTATCGACATCAGAGTCATCAAGGCTAAGGATCATGTCAAGATCAAACAAAGAGGGTTTATTTATAATTTCTTCTTTTTTTTCTTCAAATGAAAAAAGCTTTTCGTAATGCTGAACGAAATCAATATCATCATTGGGTTTTGATATAGGGAGTGGGACTTCATTATTTTCAATTTCTTTTTCTTTTTCTTCTTCTAAAAATGACATGTTATTTTCATCTTCAAAATCATAATGAAAATCCATTTTTGTTTTATATAATATTTTTCTAAAATAAATAATATAATATTAATAAATATATTGCAAAATAGTAATAATTAATTGTTGCTATGTTACCTTAATAATAGCTACAAAATTGTTTAGGAGATAAACATAAAAAATATAAAATAAAAAAATTTTTTATGAATTACATATATAATCACAATCAATTTCCATTCTTGCAATTTAATAATAAATTATATTTTTTAATTATTAACAATAGTAGTTATTATTACTTTTATATGTATAAAATTGTATATTATATTGTTATTGAACGTATTAGTGATGTGTATTTTCTCTCCAATGTGTGTGTTAGTTTATATATTATATCTATTTGAAGTGTTAATTTTGTATACAAAATTAATAAAAACAGTATAATATTTTTTCATATCATTAATTTTGATAGTGGGTGTGTATGTTTTTATTTGTGTACAGTGTGGGAAAAGTAGAGTGTTATCAAATACTTTTTTGTGTTAAAATTTCACCCACACACTGTTATCCCCCAAAATATTGAAATTCACATATTAAAAATTTTTTTTAAAAATTCAAGTTTTTTATTTGTGTTAATTATTTGAATTTTTTTAAATTACCACACAAACATTCTCACTCTTTCAAAATAAATTTTTTTTTTTTTTCATTAAAATAAATTGTATATACTAATTTGGATTCGAATAATAAACTTTTCCCCATCAATAAATCAAAATTTTAATTATTTTTGTATAGTTCTATTTTTAAATCAATACAGATCTAGATCCATATGTGTGTTTTTTTTTTTTATTTGAAAAAAAAATTAAATTGTAAATATATATGGCAATGGTAATTTATAGCATCACCTTAATTGTAAATTCAAACATTATAATTTTTATTAAGTCGCTTAATACTGATAGAGTCATTACAGGTAAATCTTTATTTAAATTAAAAAATTAGTATTTTTAAAAAGGAATAATGGAGTTGGGAATGTTTTTAATACCCTACTCTATGTATTCAAACATTAATATTTTTTAATTCCTGTCCCCCACTTAGCACAATTTAATAATTTTTTTTTCTTTCCCCCACTAAACACACAAGTATATTAGTGATTGTTAACAATTTGCATAAATTATTACTATGGGGTTATAGAAACAGATATATTGGTGTTTTTATTTTTTTTTTTTTATTATTTTTTTTTTATATGATTAATCAAATTTATTATAATAATTCTTTTTTCACATCAATTTACAAAAACTATCATGATTCATGCTCTGTTGAACCTGTTATTGCTGAAGATTATTTATTAGCTGTAGAAATAAATTCCTCTTTATTATTGATCCTACTTTTGTTAGAGATAACTATAATTAAAATAAATAAAACCTTTTAATTTTAAAATAAAAATATTACATGTGTAAATATAGGAGTATTGTATAAATTTTTAAATGAATGTGCAAGTCAATATTTTGTTCTTAAAACTTAAGTCACTTGGATTATTAAAGTTGCAATCGCAATGCTCTTAAAAAAAAATAATAGAAAAAATATTTTTTGAATAACATAAAATAATTTTATTATTTGAATATAAATTTTTTTTTTAAAATAAATATAATTATTTTCTATTAATTGTTATTTATGTTAAAAAAAATGAAGTAATTGTTTGTTTTTTAGAAATAATGTAAATAAAAAATAAATTAAAATATCATAAATGAAATCTTTTAAAAAAAAATATCTTGTGTTAAAAAAAAAAAAATTTTTATATGATAGTAAAAAAATTAGTGTGGTTGGTTTAAAAAAATTTTTTTTTTTTTTTTTTTTTTTTTGAAATTTTTATATGGGAAATGTTTATTTTTTTTTTTTAAAAAAATTAAAAAAAAAAGCAAAAAAAAAAAAAAAAAAAAAAAAATTTCACATAAAATTTTTTTTTTAATTTAATTTAATTTTTTTATTTTATTTTCTCTTCACCTTTTTTTTTTAATTTTTTGCAAAGTCATTTGATAATTTTTATTGAGTATTCAGATTTATTTAGAAAACAGTAGGTGTTAAGTAACAATCAATTAACAATTATAATTAAATACTAATTTAAAATTTATATTTATTAGAGTTAATAGTATTACAATTGATTATATAATCAATGATAATAATACAGCGGGTCACGATATCAAAGATTAATCCAAGAGACACTATTAATCAGTTTTGATAGTGAAGTTAAGTTAGTAAAGGTATTCAATAATCAAATAGTCCAGTATAATGATATAAATAAATCAATTATAGATATTAGTAATAACGAATATTGGTATGGTGAAATGGATATTGATGGTGGTTTTTTTGTTTTAGAATCAGTTCCAGAAGAAACTGGAAATGAAGTAGATAAAGAAACTGAAGAATATGAAGATGAAAATGAAATTGAAAATCAAGAACCTCGTTCAGAATGTAATAAAGATAGTGAATATTATCCTCAGGGTGTTACATTTTTCCAAGAGCAATTAAATAATATAAATTTTATGAAAACCAATATTTTACCACGTGAATATGAAAAGCAAGGTCCAAAAGAATCACTTCCATCAAATATTCCTCCAGTTAGAGATAAAGTTGTTCAGCATATTTTTGAACAATATTTTACTGACTTTCTCAACCGTTTAGTTATGCCAACAAATAATTACAAAGAGTATAAATCAAATGCATACAAAATAACAACAAAGAATTTGGCAAGTCCAAAAATATCAGAAGTAATGGTTTTCCAGAGACTTCAATCCTGTTAACAATAACATCAAAGAAATTCGTAAACTTTTACTCAATAATAATAAGAGTAATTTCAAGAAAGACTTGATAAAGGACATGAGAAATGGTATGATTGCCTTTAGATCAAAAAATTGAAATTTCAGCAAAAGAAAAAGCAAACTCAACACTACAATCAAATTCACCATCTATACCATAGTACTCCATTTATAACGATTTTAATTTGGAGGATATTAAAATCTATTTATCAATTTTCCTATATTCTGGTTTAAATAGAATTACAAATATTCATGGCTTTTGGGATAGGCCAAGAGATTCATATAGTTCATTTTCAACTTATAATTCAACTGTTGCAAATTTAATGTCATTTAGAAGGTTTAAAGCTATCCATAAATGTTTTCGTTGGGAAGTTTTTGGTACAGAACATCAAACTGCTAATCATGAATTAATTTATGAATATGCCAAGGATTTAATAAAGAAGCATTATTTACCAAGTTATGAATTTTCTTTTGATCTTTTTGGATGGAGTGGTGATTCAAAAAAGATGGTTCCGGGTAAAGCTGATAAAGTTGGTAATGTTTTATGGAAATTGGTAGATAAATTCAAGTATATTTATCATTTTGAAATTGAACATCTTGTATCCAAAATCTTGAAAGCTCAAACTCAAACTCAAGATGAAAATGATTATGAAGAGGATATGGTAGATCAACCACAACCTCAACCGAGAAACCAAATTGGAAATTAAAAAAAAAATTTCCCTTGTTATGTCAAACACCTGTTAAAGAGCATAAACAGTTGGATTCTCTAGTTGCAATTTCTTGAACTTCTTTTAGTTTATTTAATGCTCTTTAGGAAATAAATCGAAACAGTAGAATTTCTTGGACATTATTCCTTTAGATTACCAGAAACCAGTTATTCAGTATGTGTATCTTTAACAGAAGAAAACTCCACTTCTCCAGTTATATTAAATTTAAAATTCAAATATAGTCTTTTTACAAGAAGCGAATACCTCTATGATTCGGCTTTTCATGAAACAGTTGTTGCTTCTAAGGCACAGTGTTTTGGAAAAGGTGGGTGTGGCAAAGGAAAGTGCGGTGGAATTAAGCCAACAGATCCCGACGCACAAGGAGAGCTAACAGAATTCGAAGCTTCAAAGTATTTTGGTACATCTTTTGTGACGACCCTTATACTAATTTTCAAATGGGATGTGGGGGTGTCCATTTGGCATCAAAGGGGTGTTTATATCATAAAGCTTCACAAAAACCAGCATCGGCCTCTTTCCCAGTTTATGAAATTGTCTCAACGGAGGGAAAATACGAAGTGGTTGCAACACTTGATAGTAAAAAGCTTTCAGTTGGAATAAATGACGCAACAAAGGATAAATGTTATAATATCAGGTTCTAAGATTGCAAATGATATATCTCTCAATGGAAATACATTTATCATATTAAACAATAAGGTTTATTTTGGACCAGCTTGTAAAAGAAACAACCCAGTAGCAGGAATGGTTGGTGATTACCAATGTAATGCAGATGACTTTAAAAACCAAAGATGGGATCTCTGCTCAATCGCACACGGTATGACTTTCAATAAAAATATAAGAAGAGATGGTAAACATGTTACCGTTACTTATGACTCTGTTCAATGTGGGGCAATGAAAATAAAAGGTTACCCAACATCTCCTCTTAGACATGGTAAAAATCTTTGGACAGCAGATGCTACCGGAGTTTGGGAAGTTGTTCAAAATGGTAAATTTACAGCCATAGCATGGCAATGTAAGAACGATAAAATGTTTTACTCTTTAACGAAAGAGGATCTTCAAAAATCTTCAAGAGTTAAAGATAAAGGCACTGGTAAATACATAACTGAACCAATCAATACCAAGAGTAATACATTTATACAACCATAATCACAACTTTGTTGATTCAACCAAAATGGTTATAAACCCACAGAGAAATATCCACCGCTCACCCAACTATCCAACAGTTATTTTAAATGATGTTTTGTACACTATATTACAATTGCACTTATATAACAAGGAGAAATTTAGTTACAGAAATTTTATATTTCATTTAATTAATAACCAATTATCAACCAAAACATCAAGTACTAGAAATACATCAAGTAATACTGTCATAATTCCAAAGCTCATTAATGTTGCAATCTCAATGTGAATATCTAATGCTTTGGTTTTATATTAGACATTCACATTGAGATCTAAATTTTTGAGGAAATTAAAAAAATAAATTTTATAAAAAAATAAATTAAAAATAATAAAAAAATCAAAAAAAAAAAAATTTAATTATATCATTTCATTTCATATATATATCCAAAACTATTTATTATAATTAATCACATATATATTTAATCGAAATGGAGTTAGCAGGTGTAAATAAAGGTGATATTCAAATTGAAATTAAAGATTCAAAACTCTATATTTAAGGTGAAAAGATCAGTTTCAGAGGTTTCGTCAGAGATAACAGGAACAACTAAAGAAGCAGATAATCAATTTAAAAATAAGAAATATTTATCAGAAAAATCAAGAATTATCCAAGGGGGTGTTTTTTTAAAAAAAATTAAGAAATGAAAATTTTTTTTTTTTTTTTATATATAAAAAAAAAGTGATGCACATATAAAAAAAAAAAAAAAAAAAATTTAATTTTTTAATTTTTTTTTGTCCAGAAAACCCCTTGGAATTATCAAATTCAATTAAAATCCTTTTATAAACAAAGAAAAAGTTTGAACCAAATTAAAAAGAAAAATTAAATAAAATTTATTTATGAATTTAATTTTTTTATTTTTTATTTAAAATTAGTTATTATTATATTAAAAGGGCATTTGAAAAATTATTTGATTGTTTATTGATTTTAAAAAAAATAATATGGAGAATGTTATTAAATTTGAGGATTTAAATTTTTTGATTTTTGATGATTGTATGAATTAATATAAACATTGATTTGGTAACTGTAATGACATTATATTTCAAAGGATTTTCATATCTAACTGAAAAAAGAGGTAAATTATTTTGATAAAGTAGGCTTTGAAGGTTTGGTATAAGATTTTGATAATATAAACATTCTATTATATCGTACCTTGAATTTTCGTATGAAATGAGTTCTAAAATTAAAGATGAAGTAATTTCAAAATCAAAATTTGGGAAAACATCTCTGGCCAACATTAATGATCTGGAAGTGGAGTATCTTAAGATTCCTTTAAAGAGATTTTTAATGTCTCTATTTTTTAATTCCATTTTTGAAATAATTTCTTTTTTTTCTTTTAAAATATACTCAACTGTTGGTGATGTATTAAAATTGATATTTTGGATCATTTCTTGAACTACTTCAGTTTTTTCTTTATCATTAAGATGCTCTTCCCATAGAAACTCTAAAACTTCAAAATTAATATATAGAACTTGGGTAAACAATTCTACTGTATCTAATTGATATTTGAAAAAAGTGTAAAAGAGTTTTTTAAACCATTCTAAAGGGATTTCATGTTGAAGAAAAAGAGATATTTCCAAATCATGTATTTTATATATAGGACCGTTTTGCTGAATATACTGACAAATACTTTGATAATCGCCATTTTCTAACTTTGAAATATATGTTTTGTACTCTGGACCACCTTTTATTGAACAATATTTGACTAGACTATTAAAACCTTTATTTCTGATATTAAAATTATTTTTATTTATTTTAACGTTATTATTATTTTTTTTTATAATTGATTTGATGATTTCATTTATGGATTCTGATAATATTTTGCAATCATTAGGGACTGTAATTTCTGAAGTACAAAACTCTTTATTAATATCTATTTTGTGTGATAATTTTTTGAAAAGGTAATTTAAATCAAAAAAATTTAAATAATCATTGAATGCTAATGATTTTATGTAATCTATTATATTGTTGACGTATGCATCTATTTGAAAATTATTTAAATTTTGAAAATTATTTTTTAAAAAAACCATATCCAATATTTTTCTAATTGTATTATAATCTTTGGATACTATTGCTTCTATTAAATTGTTTGTTAAAAGATTGGCATTGTTGAAAAAATATTTTTTTAAATGTATGCTTTTTCCATCATTGATTGGATTTTGGACTACACCATTATATATTAAATATTTGTTTAGGTTTTTAAGATGTTTTATTGTTTTATAAACTTGTTTTAAAATTAAATTTATACTTTTTGAATTTTGCACTTCGACATTAATTATGTTGAGAAAATTGATAAACTCTTCCTCTGTATTTAAATTCTTTGATATAGTTTTTTTTACCAAGAATGGAATAGAAAAAATGTTTAGATTTCTATCAGCATATTTTGCAAATATAATAAAGTGATCTATTTTGTTGTAGTCTAATGCATTTAGTTCATCTCTTTGGAAATGGATTTCAAACATTTCCATAAATCTTAAACCAATTAATTTTGTGTATATCAGGTTGAATGCTGGAATAGTTATAATCAAATGTTTTAGAAAATAACAACTATGGAAAGTTAAGATAATATTGAAAATTTGGACCCAGTGGCTAATATTTAAATAACCTGATAATCCTTCGAGGAGTATAAATGAAAAAAATTCAACCGAATCTGAAATATTGTAATTAATTGGACCTTTATATTGAAAGCTCTCATTTCTGGAATAATCTTTTTTGCCACAATATATGAAATACTGGAAAATAGCGCCCATTGACAAACTACAAATTGCATAGTCAAATAAAATATTTATATTGAAATCATAAATACCAAACATGATTTCATATTGAAGTAGATTACCAGCTGAAAAAACACTTGGAAGATAAAACTCTTGAAAATAATAATATATTTCATTAAAAAACTGATTTTTATTAATGAATAAACTAATTGCATATAATAGCAAACCTTCTATGGAATTGATTTCACCATTTCTAATTAAAGCTTTGAAATGTTCATGCTTCTCTTTTCTATTTGTATTTGATATTGGGAATGTGTTTATTTTATTTATTACAAATATTAGACAGTGAAGAAAATTGCTTATATCATATTGGACTAAAGTAATTTCAATTTTGCAGTCATTTGAAGATAATATTTCAATAGCAGCCAATAGTGTTTCCATATCATTAATGCACTCGATTTCTACATTATCATTACACTGAACCATTAAACTTTTGATGGATACATTAAAATTTTCCCTTATTAGTTTCAACTTTTCTTTGGTAAAATGTGAAAATAAACATTTACTAGAAAACAATGGAATTTGACTAGCTTTATCATTATTAATGGATTCTATTATTTTATTTATTTCATTTGATAATATTGGTGTTA